TTCTTTGCTTAAAATACCTTAAATTTGTTTATCAAAGAATCACTGTGTGTGTGTCTGAATGGAACCATTTTATTTCATGAACTGTACAACTTCTACTTTACAACTGTAGAATTAAAAGAACCATATGCTAATTTTAAACCCAGGGGTCCCCATAGAAATGTTTCCTCCCTCCACCTGCTGCTGCCCCTCCCAGCCAATCAGCCAGGTCCCCCCTCATTGTGCTCTGTCCCCCTCTTCTCAAATTATACGCTAAATAAAGAAATGACATCCAAGCATTTTACACCGCTGAAAAGATTCATAGAAAGACGTTTCCATTGAACTTGGTCTGGTGATCAATAAAACTGATGACTATAATCAGTTAGTAAGACTGGTGAATAAATTGCCTACAATAGTCCAATATGCTCCAATTAGAATTTAATGACACCTCACTTTATATGAAAATTCAACATGGACAGCCAGATATGAATAATGATGTCTTATTTCCTCTTTATCCTGTGACCAACTGCAGCACCTGAACAATCACATGCTATGGGCAGAACAAGAGGCTAGCTGGACTGTTTCATGTCAGGTTTTTTTTTTATTATAAGCCACAAGACACTGTTGCTAAAAATGATACTAAAAATGCACATCACACATTTAGCCCAAAGGAAAGGAATAAAGCAAAAAGTTAATGGTTTCAAATGACAAGGACAATACACAAATCAATAGGAAACTTGAATATTCCTCTACAATGCCATGAAAAGGTAAAATCTAAATTACTCTATAAAAATATTATCAAAAAATAACAAGATCAATTATGAAAAAGAGTGTTAGAAAAAGTTTACCAGGTGGTAAAGTCTTAAATCAACCACCAGCTTCAAATTTAATTAAAGAAGTAATAACTCAGAAAATACAAACTTCAATCCTATCTGATCCTACCTGATGTGTATGTATTGTCCGGGTAGCACCGAAAAATTACCCTTACCTCCCTCAAAGTCTGTCTGTCGTGGAATGATTTATCACGATGGCTGCTCTAAGAAGAGATTCAAAATCACGTTAGGCTGGGTACATCAGAGAAACCCTACAAAAATTTTATGTTCATCCAGATCATAATATCAATATTCTGTTCTACTTTAAATAAATTTATGGATGATAAATACTCTATTCAAGGTGCATTAAAAAATAACTTTTGTGAAAATTTCAAAAAACATCTGACCACCAATGCCAGAACAAATTGCAATGTCCTATGGTGATAGTTCATTACAATAAGGTCAGTTGGTGCATAATAATATTCCATTTTCTCTCTGTTATATAAAATTAAAAAATCTTTATTTCACTCTAAGACACATGTATAGAGATCTACAATTTTGAATCTCTCAATATTCAATTTTATATATTACACGTACTGAAGGCGAATCACTGGGCATGTCTGAACACAAACTTTAAATCTTGGGAAGTTTAATTCACATTAAAAATTAAGAATATGATAATTAACACAAATCTTCATGCATCCTTATATCATTTTGATAAAGTTTTAGTACATATTTTAAATCATAATTTGCAGTGTGCATTGTATACTTTGTATTTGAGACATATATTGCCAAAGTATCAAAAAAAAAACACTGTCTGGAAGAAGATTTTCTTCCTGATATCTGGCTGTGATTTAGAAGGTGATATAGGACACGGGGCACGTCCTCTTATCAATCTATACACCCTGATAAAGAGCCTAAATTGTCTTGTTTATAGTTTCTAATTTACATTTAGACTAAACTTGGTGTATATATGTGATAGGTACACAATATGACACCTGATTTCTATGAAACTGGATCTTGCCAGGTTTTTGAAAAGATATGAAAAACAGAGTGTAGCTTTACCATAAAATTCACCCAATTTCTCCTGAATTACAGGTAACTTTAGGTGACAGAGAGAAACTGGAGTGGCGATAGAGTGAGGCTTATATTGGCAGATTTTATCATCAGGCCTTCCACAGGAGACGGGTCCCTGACATTTATCTACAGCATACATACTGCTCTACTCCCACAAGGATGAATTTAATGCTGACCTCCAAAACGGGTCTCAATGATATGCTGGACATTGGAATCAACCCTACAATACGTCAACAATCTATAAATTATGATAAAAGTGAAACATATGTTTATAATTTATAAAATTGTAATTACTATATAAAATGAGTATACTATAAAATCTTAATACTGGGGGTAATTTTTTTTTGCATATCTTTCAAACTTTACTATATAAAAAGCTTTATACTGAATCATAAGAAATTCAAATCTTAATACACACATATATCACCTGTTACAAGAGTTTACCACTGAATAACTCATACATTTTACATGTGTAAAATCTAGCATTTAGTGACATATTTAGCCTTGAACGAGATGAGAAAACTTTTGATGTGGTAACATTTATCTACACTAAGGAGATAAAGGTTGGGATTAACAAAGGATTAATAGATAACAAATTAGACATACACAGATAAAATTATTATCTTAAAATTAATCACATTGTGGAATGAGAAAGCATTGATAAGACTTCATCAGATGACAAATTAAGTCACATTATCCAGTGGTGTACATATGTTCCATAACTTCTTGATAATAATGAAAAATGCACTTTTTTGTCATTTGTATGCCCTTTACATTGCCCTATAAAGGAGTATAAATTAATGAATCCAAATAATCTCTTTACAGAGATGGTGATCTCCTCTCTGAAGTATCTCGTGACGTTGTCAGAACCTTCTGTCTTGAGTCTCCCTGACACGTGGATATGCGTTTTACTGCATCCTCCATATTGTTAGTCAAACAAAGGGAGACAACTCCACAGGACTAGCTTTGGTATTCCCTGTTGGATCCCAGCTTCATTTCTAAGGAACCAATCTACATAGCAATAAAACTTAATCAGAGCAGATTTAAATTCAATGTAAAAAGGAGATACTAGAACCACTTCTGAGAGTGCAAAAGAAAAGAATTCACAAAGAAATCTGTTCAAGGGTCATTTTAATTAATTCCATTAGTCTCCTGACATACACAGTCTTACAATGGCCAGAACATGAAAAAATAGCAGAAATGTCAATAAGCAGCCCAGGTACCCACCCAAATGAAGCCCCCGGACTTAATCCCTGCATTGAGGAGAGATTCTGCGTCCACCCCCTGTATAACAATCGTGGCTCTGGTCATGAAAGGAGGCACCCAGGCAGCAGAATGTGGTGACAATCGACATATGTCCATGATCCGCTTCACTTTCTCTGAATAGGTGGATTCTATGTATAGAAGATGTCTGAAGAATCAAGGAAATCTCTGTAAAATTAGAATTGGGTGAGGATAACAGGTGTAAAACTTTGAAAGTGGAAGGAAAAGTATTGGGGATAAAATTTAAGCAATATAAATGTTTTTTTTTTCTGCTACTGATTTTCTGTATTTCAAATAAAATGTATATGTGAATAAAGATGTTAAAAACAAAACACCCCACCCACCCACCAACCTAAAAAAAAACAGAAAAAACAAGACAATATAACTTCTTTAATACTATTGAATTCTGACTCTTATATTAATTGACAGACATATGTCACAAACTTTGACAAATATATGTAGTTTCTAGCAAGTCAAAAAAAAAAGCTATTAAATTATGGGAAAACAGTACCAAATATTGATTTTAAAAATATATATATTTTCCAATCATTTTATATTTCTGTTCCTCACACATAATGGCACACACTTTTTTGCCATGGTATGATGTCCATAATTAATTATTCAGTCCTTTGACCATATTATCATCAAATTCTTTACCAATGTTTAATTCCTGCTCTAAGCTCCAATGTCATGCAAATCCTATTATGTTAAGATCTCATAGACCCCGTCCATATTTCCTTTTCCTTCATTGTAGAATCCGGAGTCTAAATCCATGATTGTAAGTCATTGATTCAATGATATTACAAATTTACATAAGATGGATGTTATAAAAAGCAAAGAATATAAGGATTAAAATCAAAAGAGAAACTGTTTCTAATCAATATGGACCATGTTTATAAAATATTATCTGAAAATAGAATAAAGAAATATTTAAGCATATCATATATCACAAAAAGAAATCAAATATGGTGTGAACGATCATGTCTGCATCTAAAGCTAGATCTGATATCAAAAGATGTGACCAGGCACTGAATATTGTGTTGATGTCTTGACCCTGAAAGTTTAGTGCAGAAATACATTATGAAGATCTGTTTGACCACAGACAAATATGTCTCTGGTTGGACAAAGAATTCCTGAAGAACAGCTTTCAAGAATGCAATATGCAGGGAAGATCTGCACGCCATGGTGTTTCAACAATAAATTCTAAATGTTAAATACAATACCTGTTGATATATGTAAATGGCAACTTTCTTGAAAAGGTTCATTTCTTCGCGATATACATAAACCAGTTAAATTGTAAGGCTGCAGCAGTTGTCTGTCCATTTTGTATGACAAATATCTGTAAATACCCAATACTCATGTACATTAATTGTTCAGTAAAACATGGCATTATATATTTTTCTGTTTTCATTGATAAAAAAATTATAACAGCAGAAAATAATAAATAATGATAAATAATCATGATAGTTACATTTAAAACCAAAGGAGGAAAATAATTATCATTATTATATGATTGAATAATTTCCATCTCCATCAGGCTCGGTGAATATTGTACTCCTCAGATGGCTAAATCATTGTATTGACCTCAAAAAGCAGCAATAATTGTATAATATTCAACCTATTTCACCATGTGCAATATAGAGAGATGTGACAAGGGAGGGAACTGTTATCATTATTTCAAACATGCAACTTCGTCTGAACTCTGAAGCCTTTTGTTTGATAAGAAAATTGCCACAATGTCCAAAGAAAATATTACATGAAAGGTAGGCCCTATTTAAAGATGCAGAATAGACTACTAGGCCTTCATATCAGCATGTTTCTCACACTTTCTTGGGTCTTCAGCCTCTCAGCCTTCCCTTGTAAACATTTGGAGCACCTGTTACAAGCGTTTAGCTGACGTCGATTTTGCCGGGAAGTTTGGGGTGTAGTTTTTTGTCTAAACAGAGAAAATGAGTTTGTGGGTTGACAAACACCGACCGTCGTCTCTGAATAAGCTAGATTATCACAAAGACCAAGCTACTCTTCTTAAGAAACTTGTGAGTATGAATATGGGTTAATGATCGTGTGCTTATTGTGTTACTTGTTTCATTATTTCGAATTTCCTCCACAGGTACTTGGGGTCTTGGTTTGTAAATGTGTATGTACCTTACTGATTTGTTAAAAAAAGTACTTTTTTACATATCGATAAGGTACATACATATTCATAAACCAAGACTGTACCTGTGATTTCCTCATTCATTGCAATCGATCTATTTTAGACTTGTTTATTTACCTATTTGTCAAGCAATATAGAAGAAATGTTTGGATATTTGACTGTATAAGAATAATTTATTATTAATTTTATTTAAAAAGATTTACCTTCTTTAGGAAGTTAAGGTAGATGAAACAGTTTAAATAACTGGGTTTTTTTCTGCATAAACATCATTATAAGTATTTTGTATTTTACCGTTGTAGTGGTGGTTATCGAATACATACATGCCAACTTTTGAAAATTTTCTTGGGGGAGATTGCGCGTAACAACATTTTTCGAAGTTCCTAATTCGCAGCATTTTGTCGTGAAAAATAACTATTTGTAGTTTTTTTTTTTTAATATCAATCTACTACCTTGCATCATATATTATCACTACTTCAGAAAGTGTTTTCTTCTCTATCAACTTTAACAAAAGCACAAATACAATATCATTTGAAATTAAAAAAATGATTATTTATTCGAAATTATTTAATATGTTTATATTGAGATAAACATACCTCCTGCCTTAAAGAATGTGATACACAAACTGATTTTTACATGAATAAGGAAATTAAACTTTACAAATAAGCTGAAGCAAGTTAAGTTTATGCAGTTACCATGTGGTTACTGTTCACTGTCTGTTGGTAAATTACAAAGTTTATAAGGCTACTGTTGCAGACACATAATTATTTTTTCTTAATCAGAGGGAATATTAAGAAGTCATTTTTATCTTTTTCATTCAAAGTCTGCAAAAGGCATGGTCTTTTCCTTTTTCTGAATCACCCCAGTCCTAATTTTTACTTGCAGGCACATCTTTTCATGTTGGATTTTGGCAGTGTCTTTTCCATGAAGTAGATCATAATTTAATGGAGAATGCCTTATTTCCAACACTGGAAAACCTTATATAAACGGTTTATACGTATACTGTCAAAGTTTGCTGTAAAGTGTTAACTCTCACAAGTTTGTCAGTTTGTATCCTGTCGCGTGTATTTCTTAAAATTTCCACATCTGGCATAATTGTCTAGGTTAATATACACTGTTAATGAGGTTCAGGAGCAATTAAAACCACTGTAATGACTGGTAGCACAGTTGACACCTTGTTGATTGCCTGTTATCAGCGGCAATAAACAGATATCCTACCAATAAACATTGAAACAGCCATGTTTTCTGCACACGGAAATACTGTATTATTCAAAGCCAATCGGTAAAAATTCCATATTTTCAAAAAATCGGTAGAAATGGGGTAAAAAAATTAAATCGGTAGACAAGCGGTAGACAGGGTTCAAAATCGGTAGACTCCTGAAAAAATCGGGAAAGTTGGCATGTATGCGAATATATTTGGTAGAATAAATTTCTTACTGACCAATTTTGTTAGGTGCATGGAGGAGATTTTCCACATCTGCTTGTCTATGGGCCATCAGGGGCAGGAAAAAAGACTCGCATCATGTGTCTATTGAGGGAGTTGTATGGATCAGGAGTAGAAAAACTACGTATAGAGCAGCACAATTTTACCACCCCATCCAATAAAAAGATTGAAATCTCAACCATATCCAGCAATTATCATATTGAGGTCAATCCAAGGTACTAAGCTTAATGTTAATTTTATTAACGAATTGATTTTTTAATAGGAATTCTCTACAGCTGCCCCCAGTGTAGCCAAAACCTACATCTTTCAGATTTAAATACTGTAGAAGTACTTTTTTCTGCGTGGTATTAATTTACGCTATGTACGCAGTCACAATTTTTCCACGGAAATTTGTCCAAGCGTACTTAATATAAATGTAAGGCATATAGTGACAGTCTAGGAAATCTGCATAATTTTCTACATGCAGATTCAACAGAAATTGAAATTCCATGGAATTATGACCCCATGGAAAAAAGTACAATATGATGTTCTACAATCTGAGATAAAGGATTAATCCTCTAGCTAGTGCTAGTTTATTTCTGCTATATAGTAATTAATCTATCAAAAATCTAATTGAATCATTGTCACATTAAAATTTTGTTTATATGTGCATTCATGTTATATTGTGTAAATATGTATGTATCAATAATTTCAGTGATGTTGGAATACAAGACAGAGTTGTTATCCAGGAACTAATCAAAACTGTAGCACAAACAAACAACTTGGATTCCTCACAGAGAGACTTCAAAGGTTTATTTTATATACCATCTTCAGTAACATACTCTTATACATCACTGCATGTGCTTTTATATTTAACATCTACAAGAATGAATTTTTTATTTTGATTCTGTTTATATTCACTTTAAAAAGTCTCCTATAAATGCTTGATTTGATATTCTTTATTATCCTCGAAGATTGTTACTGTTGACAATTTGCCTCTTTTGTTTCTAGTCGTCGTACTGACGGAGGTAGACAAGTTGACAAAGGATGCTCAGCACGCTCTCCGTCGTACGATGGAGAAGTACATGGCGACGTGCCGACTGATTCTCTGCTGTGTTTCTACGAGTAAAGTGATTCCAGCCATCCGCAGCAGATGTCTGGGAGTCAGGGTCGCAGCTCCGACCCTTGAAGAAGTACGACACTTCTATGCTTATAATTATTTTGATTTAAAGGATAGAATTGAAGCAACTTTTTAAAAAAAAGATTGCAAAATTCAAACACAAAATAGATTGAAAAAAAGGGTGGGAGTATTAATGAAATTAATCTGAGTATATTCATATGAAGTTTGTTTTAGATAAAAATTTTATCTGATGGCATTGCAGTTATTAATAAATCCTGTTTCATATTTTTCCTTTCTTATTCTCTTATAGATAACAAACATTCTCCAAACAGTTTGCAAGAAAGAGGGTTGTCCGATACCTATAGAATTAGCTAGGAGAGTAGCTGAGAAAAGCAAACGAAACCTCAGGAGAGCATTACTGATGGCAGAAGCATGCAAAGTTCAGCAGTAAGTACCGTAATTTACGGAACATAGGTCAATATTTTTTTTCTCAGAACCGCTTGGGTCGCCCAGTATTCAGAATTTGACCTATTTAAGGCTCAAGTTTACGAAAAATGCCCCCAAATCAGTAAAATTTATGACAATTTCAAAGCAAATTTGTGCCACTTTCGTAACTTTCTTGATTATTTTTCGCAAAAAAAATAATGCCCCGTTAAACAATAAAATATTTATTCTATAGCTTTCTTACAAAATGAATTCCATTAATTATCCGTTGATGACAAAGGAAAACAACATTGCTTCATCTATTAAATAATTCCTCAACATTAACATCATGCTGTATCCATCTTGTGAAGTTAGGAAGTCGCGAGTGTGTACTAAATGTAAAACCGCAAAATTTAAAATACGGAAAATTTTCACAATCACAACTGTAGTGTTTTTACACGGAATACAAAGATTGGCTTCTAACAGAATTTTAATTGTCCGACAGATAAAGCGATTTACACCTGTGTTGGTTTAAATGCTTGCGGGGCATGATTAACAAACCCAAGTGCCGTTATAGGGTATTAATGTTACACATCATTGAACAAACAAAGCCGTGAAATTCATGTTCACAGTCAAATTGGGAATGTACTCTCAATTAAATTTATAAATTAAACTTATAAAGTTTTAATATGATTTCAATTCTTTACTGTTGCTTGATTTATACATTCAATGGTCATTTGCGTGTTTTAGCAAATCCCTGGAGAAGAAAAATAAAAATGGCAGACATCGAAGTAATTGTCGTCCACCGGTAAATAATGTCTAAATAAAATTTATTAGGAATGTGTCAGAGTTGTTCTGAAAACGGAATTACTATTCTTTGGTTTCGGATATTTCCCGAATTATAGCTTTAAAATAATAACATATTTACGTGTTATTTATGCCTCTGATTTAACAACAGTGTGAAACTACGGAGGCATTGAACAGGCAAGTTGGAGAAAAATAAGTAGTAACACAATTCAAAGAAGTTTTAACAACATTTTTTTTTTTAAAACTTTATTTAAATGCTGTACTCATTAATGTACCTGTTTATTTTTTTTATACATTCATGTAACAGAATAACCCCGATAATTTTAGGGGTTTACCTGTTCTGATACGTTGTATCTGCGTAAGAATCTTTAGAAAACGGGAAACAAAGCCTCGTCCTATACAGTAAGTTCGACCTATCTTAGGATTTTTCAAAAATTAAGGCTGAAAATGAGCCTTTCGACCTATATACCCCATCGACCTATAATCCCGAAATTACGGTATTCAGTCCAAAACAGCAGAAGCATTGTCATTCCCTTGCTGCATTATTTGTAGTTGTATGACACAGGCATTAGTTGTGATAGTAACTCAGAAGAGTCCTCAATGATGACAAGATCAAACTGAGAGCTGCATGATGTCCATTACTCTCTACAGATATTACTCATTTCTCATTAGTTTAAGTCTGAGAGGACTTAAGAATCTTTATGGGATGACCCAGTGCTGTTCCTTCTCAACAATGTCTTTAAATTTATGACCTTGAATTATGGCATCTCAATATTAATTCTTCATACACACCAAGAAGACTGCAAATGTGTTCTAATGCAAGATCAGTGAAAATCCCCATACATTGCAGGACTCCATTAAAAGCAGACCAAGAGGTATCAGAACCCGACTGGGAGGTGTATCTAAGGGAAACAGCCAATATGATAATTCAACAGCAATCTCCACGGCGATTGCTGGAGGTCAGGGGTCGTCTCTATGAACTTCTGACTCACTGCATACCAGCAGACATCATTATGAAGGTCAGCTTAGTTTTTTTCAAATTTCAGATAACACTCTTTATATATTCTGCAAAAATTATGACGTACAAAATTTAAGAACCCTCTTTACACTGCACACTAAGAAGTTCCGATTCTAAGGTATTTTTCTGCAGTTAGAGTGATCTGCCGTTAGATCTCGATTCCAAAAAAAAAAAAAAAGTTATATTTAGAGTACGAGTTTCCTACTGTATCAGAGATACAGGGCGGGGCTTGAGGCGAGAGCGATAGCTCGAGCCGGGCCCCGCCCTGTATCTGATACAGTAGGAAACGAGTATTCTAAATGACTTGTGACATGACCTTTCTAATGACCTCACCAATTTACATTCATATTTGGGAACATACCTCTCAACCAATCAGATGATTTTAGCAGAAAGTTGATTATATCCCATTTTAAGCATTCGCAACTGAAATGCCGAGAGAGGTGGACGTGCAGGTATTTATCATTTTAAAATAATTATTTAGGGGATGCATTATATAATTGGTTTTCAAAAAAAAAAAATAATTTGATTGTGTATGTTCTTTTCTTTATTCAGCTGTTGCCGACGTCTTTTTTTTTTAATTTAAGCTACGATTAAATGCAAAACATTTTAATATATAAGAATCATGTGGGAATTTAATGTTTTTGAAACAAAAATACTTCGGGGAAAACGTATTCTGAAAAAAATGTCTAACAATGTCCTACACCTGTCTTAATAAAAAAAAAATGAAATAAACAGATGAAATGAAAGCGGGGGGGGGGGGGGGGTGTATATATATTCCCAGCACTCACTGGTGCAAAAGTTTTTTTTTTCTTTTTCTCTTTCATAAATGATTTTTGCTAAACTTGTATACAACGCTTTTTAATTTATCAACAATAAACAATAGCACCACATAGTGTCTTGGTTGGCTGTAAAGCTACCCCCTTCCCGAGTGTAATATACGGGTTTCACTTATTTTTTTTTTCGGGGGGGGGGGGGGGGCATAGTAATCATTTGTGAACTGTTCCACTACTCCTTACCTTTCTAAAATTTTTGAATTCGACATAACTTTACGTTGTATAATTTTATTCTTAATTCACCTCAAATTTTGAGTAAATACTAACAGTGCTTTCATGGGAATTGAACGATTCCTGTGTCTGTACACAGATTCAGCTTTCCCTCATCGCTAAAAATAAACCGTACTGTATCGTTGATATTTTGCAGATACAATTCCAAAAAAATAGAAATTTACAATACACTACTAAATTTGTAATTAATTCAAGTATTCTTAACATTTTAAAAGGACAAGATAAATTAACTGAACGTGTTATTTACATGTATTTTCTTTATGGAAGTAATTAACAGTGATTTCTATTCACTGCTACTGTGTTGTCTTTTACCCTGTGTTTAATTCGTCTAAACTTGCGAATAACATTTTTCACACAACAGCTAATGCGGTAAACTAATGCGAATTAAAATTTTACTTCGACAGTAATTATGACGTCATTTGCAAATCACACACCAGATGCACATTGAAAATTAATTATTTTTTCTTAGTTTTTCAAAAAATAGCACAAGTACTTAAAGCTGACTGACGCATTTGAATTTTGCCAACTGCCTTTAATTCGAATAGCTTCGCTTAGCGTTCACACGGAGCTAATGCGATAATTTAATGCGCAGTAAACTAATGCGAAGTAAACTAATTCGCATTAAATTCTCCGTGTGAACGCTAAGCGAAGCTAATTCGCAGTAAATTTACGTTTAATTCGAATTAAACTCTCCGTGTGAACAGGGCATAACATTTTTCCTAGGGGTAAATGCCACACTATACATTGAAAATTAAATAAATAAGCTCAATATTAACTCCTTTATACAATACATTTTTCTCAATGTCCAAAAAAATTGCACATGTGTAGAGAGGGCCCTTAATGTTGAAGTTAATTTCTCATTACTGTGAAATTATACATTGCAGGGATTGTTACAAGAATTGATTAATAACTGTGATGGGGAGCTGAAAACAGAGGTGGTGCAATCTGCTGCATTTTTCCAACATCGACTCCAGCTCGGACAGAAGGCGATATATCATCTGGAAGCCTTTGTAGCCAAGTTCATGGCCATCTACAAACGATTCATGGAGGAAAACATTGCAGATCTCTTCTAACAAATCTAATGACTAAGGAAAAACATTGCAGATTTTTTAAACAAATCATATGACTTTGCCAATGTCAGTAGACATTAAAAGTGCCGATTAAGTAGAGTATGTGAAAGAAAAGAAAATTTCAGATTGAATATTTTTGCATTGATCAAAAACACATGAATTCCTGTGTTTGTCATGTTCCTGGAAAACAACTCAGAGAAATAAATTATGCAGAAATGTAGATACTGGTGAATGCTTATTTCATAAAAAGCATCTGTTGAAAGTTTTACCTTTGCAACCTTTTGCAATTTAGCAGAAAGGCTGAAACTTACATCTTTCCTGACCTAATTTAGATCATTAAGTGTCGATCATGAACCTGGGGTTGGGTGGGCCACCTTAGGCGATCAAAGATATAGATTGTAAATTACCTGTTATAAGAAAAATGTTCTCAAGAACCACCTATTGGGTCTTTCCTAGATTGATATTGAACTTCTCATTGGTAAGTCCAACATCTCACTATGCAGTTGTAGCCCACATGGCACAGTAGTGAGAGCATCTGCTCTAGAGTTGCGAAGTAAGAGTTGATCTTTATGTTGCGGGTTCGAATCCCACTGTGGGACGTGGGGACCAGTCCTTTGGATGAGACTGTATAAACCAAGGTCGCATGTGGCAGTAAGTGCTGGTAGGAAAAAGATCATTAGCCCCAAGTGCTGAGTATAGGACAAAATTTGTAGCCCCTGACGGCAAATGGTGGCTTCTCTGTGAGGGAAAAATTCTCAAGAGGGATGTTAAACAACATACAATCAATCGATCACTATGCAGTCAAACATAAATTTATTTTATGCCCGCTCAGTAAAACATTGGAAATGAACTTTGATAGCTCACCTGAGCTGAAGGCTCTGGTGAGCTATTCTGATCAAAGTTTGTCCGTTGTCTGACATTGATGATGGAACATTTTCATCTTCCTCTCTAGAAATACTTTGCCAATTTCAACCAAACTTGATACAGAGTATTCTTGGATGAAAGATATTTAAATTTGTTCAAATAAGGGCCATGCCTGGATGAAAACAATAATGTGCTTGGAATGATGAAACTCATGTAGAATAAATGCCAGGTAGTGTAGATTCAAGCAAAACTATAATCCGTCATATTTATATGGAAGCATCCTCAGGTGGTGTAAATTCAAGTTTGTACAAATCATGACCCCTGGGGTATGTTGGGGCTACAATGGACAGTCCAAGTTTTACATACGAATACATGTATATAGGAAAACTCTTCAAAAATCTCCTCAAGAAGAGCAAATCTGGGATTGGTCATATTTATCCTTTCAAGTACTAAATTGATCAATTTTCTGCTTTTTCCTAGCCAATGGCCCTGGGCATCTTGTTTTAGTATAGAATTATATAGTCTTAAAACAATTTTTAAAGGCATTAAAACAAAAGTTTTCTTAGCTGTAAAAGTATTACTTTTAAATCAACCCTCATTGCAGCCCGGAGGACCGGGCTGCTCTATACATATAAGTTTAAGTGTTGGTGTATGGGGATTGGGGCGGGAGTAGTTTTTCAGAAATAAAGGTTTTCTAAACATCGAAAAGATTGTTAATCAGAATGTTCTTTCCTTTATAAATTACGAGATACATACCTGGTAATATATTTACTTCCATAAAGTGAATCTGTAAAAATATTTATGTTTTTCATATTTTATATATAAAGTTGCTTATCATTTACTATCGAAAAAATGATAGGTCCCTTTTTTTAGAACATCGAATTTTACTTCTCGCATAAAAACGTACTCTGCACAGTTCATGTTTCATAATCGAAAATTGAAAATTAAATACATTTTTGATATGCATGGTGATGCATGTGTCTAACTTCAATTTATATATTATGCAGCCATCATTTACATGAGGAATTGATCAAGTTTAAAATGGTATCGTTTTTGTTTGATTTTTATCCGACTAAAAGTTTTCAAAATATTCGCGGTTTGATGATCAAGACTTATTTCCATTGTTTACTTTATATATTTCCCGGGCAACAATTGATGGTTACATCAATGTTTTCTTGTTCATATATATACATATTTTCAAATTGATTGAAAAAATGAAATTCTGTCCACAATTTACTTCACATATATTTTCACACTGAACTGCCGAGAGTGAATGGCTTGTAAATATACATGTAGAAGTGTGTCCTGTTTGAAACATCTCAAGCTCAAAAAAAAAAAAAAAAAAAAAAACAAGATGTGTTTGTGAAACACTATGCGCCCGGCGGCAACAAAGTTCAATAAATTATTTTTAGCAATAAGTCACAGTCAAGGTCACAAGGTCATTGACCTTGGTATCATTTAAAAGAACTTAATTAGTGAAGTAAGTATACCAAATAGAAAGTCTCTATCTCTCATGGTTCAAAAATAATGGTGAATTCTAAAAAGCTACTTTTAGCATATAGGTCACAGTCAAGGTCACAAGGTCATACACCTTGATGTCATTTGAAAGAGCTTTATTAGTTGAGTATGCGTACTAAATATAAAGTCTCTACCTCTCATGGTTCAAAAGGTATGGCGAAAGTTCGATAAAGCTATTTTTAGCATAAAGGTCACAGTCAAGGTCACAAGGTCATTGAACTTGATGTCATTTGAAAGAGCTTTATTGGTGGAGTATGCATACCAAATATGAAGTTTCTATCTCTCATGGTTCAAAAGTTATGGCGAAGGTTAAAGTTGACAACAGACAGACAGACAAACAGATAAACAGACAAACAGACAGGACAAAAACAATATACACCTCGGATCTATCGATCCGGGCGCATAAAAATCCCAAAATCATCCCGAAGTTTAGATAAAATAGACAAAATTATAAGATATAGTCCCAAGTGTTCTTTTTTGTTTTAGGATCTAATAACAAGTTGAAGAACAAGCTAACAAATCTGGTGTTTTTATTTACAAATTACATTGTACATTTCATACAAGAACATTTCATTATTTGGTTATTCCCTCCCCCCTTTACAAAACAAAAACAAACAAAACAAGCTCTGTTTAATGTTAGTGCTTGGTGAGATTATTGTGCTGGTACAGAGCACACTGGTAACTGCATATAGTGAAACAAAAAATGGACATCTTACATAGTAATGATGCACCAATTATATGCTCAAACTCTACAAAACAACTGAACACAAAACATGTTAAAACAATTAACATTCTGTCAGGTTACCAAATCAACTGCATAACTTTCTCTCTACAATGAAGGGAGTATTACTTAAATGACATATATTTGTAGAATGAATTATGATAAACTGAGTTTTGTGAACAACAAAATTGTGAATAATATGACAAATTATAACAAAATAAAACCTGAACTGTAACATATGGTTTTTAAAGTCTGAGTTGGAATTCAAAATCACACATCTGATTCAACATAATATCTTCCTTATTTGATGATTACATAAATCAATATCAAATATTTAGATTAAAAAATAATAAAAACAGAATGTCTAAATAAAGCTGTCTATGAAGTTAACATTGGCACACTGGTCTCTTTCGAGAATTTTTAATACACTTTTATAAGCAATCAATGAAGAAATATCTATTGACTAAGTCAAAAATTCTATTCTAACACACATCACTCAATAATGTTTACAGAGATACTTGCTGCAATAGCAGAAATGTATTACACCAAAAACTGCCAAGCCTAAGCCTAAAAATGGCAAAGAATTGCTTAAACACAATAAAGCCATTTATGAGAAGAGGAAAATTCAATTGAGCTTTGGAACAATTTTATAGATGTGCCATGATATGGAATTACAAAAATTATGTGAACAGTTCATGTATAAAGAAACAAAAAATATGCAAAAGCTGTTTAGGAAAAAAATAAAATAAAAAAAAAAATAAAATGGTGAAGCTTTGAGGCAAAACTGTTTTTTTTTTTAATCCAGGGCTCTCGATTCTCTAAAATTGGGGCCGTTCAACGGCCCCGTTCCCAATGCAAAAAAGGTACCTTTTTTCCCAAAAGAAAGGTATATATTTCCCAATTTCCATAGCAAAATATTAATTAAAAAATAAAAGTCTAAGAAACTTAATTGCAAAAAAAAAAAAAAACAACAAACAAAACACACTTGCAAATGAAAGTGAAACTGTACCACTATTTTATTAGTTCGCGGCAAATGCATTTGTAAACTGGTTCGGGGAACCAGGTTATTGTTTTTACAAAAATGTGTACTAACTATGAGTGCAGAGTATCTTGTCATGTAGTTTCGAAAAAAAACATCATTTTGGTTTCAAAATTAGACATTTCATTTAAACATTAGTACTGTAAGCTGCACCTAGAAACACACCCACGCTTCGGCATGTTCAGTCTCGCACTGTATTGGTAAGCAAAGTTGTCCCTGTGATCGAGGAAATTCGGGACTATGTGACTAGCGACTGTCACTCAGAAAGACATAAAACCGCAATATCAACACTCAAAGATGGTTATGACAAAGCTAATGTACTTTCATGAATAGCCTACGTACCCATATTTGTTCTGTTTAACTGTTTATTCAAAACCAGATTTGAATTGATTACAAAATGCTAGAAAAGCAAAATTTGAGGATTTTTTTTAATTGAATTTTGATTATCCAACTTTTCCCAAAATGACGATAATTTCCCAATTTGAACGGCCCCGGCCCCAGTCCCAAAAAGTGGTGTGAGAGCCCTGTAATCAAACTAAAATGACTATGTACATGATGTTCAAGGGGGAAAAAGAGCAATTAAAGGCATACTAAATGTCATTTAATATTTTCTTTTAAAAATCCTGTGAAAATTTTCAGTCATTTAACAAACGTAAGAAGTCATCAAACGCAGGATACTGCCTGACTGTGAAGATCTGGCATGGTGGAATTTTTCTGTATCATGGAGCAGAAGTGATGATTCTTCTCCAGGATGTGGAACTGTATGTCTGTCTGTGTGGCACTGAGGCTATTAACGGTCATCAACTCCTCATCTTCATCCCCCAGGGTGAAAACAACAGGGGAAGCAGTAGCGACAGGAGAGGAGATTCTAGGGCTCCCAAACTGAGGGTTCCAGACCCCGCTTAGGTCCTGAGAGGGGAGGGCTGAGAGAAGACCCGGGGCGGGGGCTGCTCCGATTTGTAGCTGAGACAGATGTTGGCGGACATACTCTGTCAGAGACGGAGAAGAGGAAGACAAGTGGAAAGAATTTCTGGAGTTATCTCCCTTTAACTCTGATGTTTGTTCTTTATGAATGATTGGTCTTTGATCTTTTACTTCAGATTCCCTGATGTTTTTATTTTGACCTGAGAAGTGATCTGAAATCAAGAGAGTTTTACCTGATATTCTTTGCATAGTTAAAAGATGTTTACAAAGTCTAAAAGATGTTTACAAAGCAGTCTCTATTTTTTCTTTATTTCGTTTTAACAAATATTAACGAGCACTTTTATATGAATTTATATTGAATAGGGTTACTTTCAAAACAACGAAATTAAATCCCCACGAAACTATTCTAGATGACAAAACAACGAAATTTTATCCCCACGAAAATTTGTGCTTCTACAGTATTGACCAGACCATAGATCTACTGATTTGTATACCTAAATCAGAGAGGAATTCATCCATTTTACAGCTAGGATAGTCTCCCTTCCATGGTTTAACCACGTTCTTTGCCTCAATTTCCATCACTTTATCTTCAGCCATTTTGTTTCCCAGTTTGGCAGATTTTCTGTACAGCTCCTCTGCAGACAGCATATCTTCTGGTAATCCTACCAAGAGATCATGAAAACCAGTTAGGCTTTAACAATGCCTATTAAACAAACTCTACAAAATTAGAAAAGAATATGTAAGAAATATAGAGTCACCTCCTACTCCATATTCATGAAACACTGCTAGATTGTACAGAGCTCCATCGTGTCCGGACTGAGCTGCCTGGGAATATAAATGAGCCGCCTTGCATTCATTGACTTCTACACCCCATCCCTGCTCATAGCAAATTCCTAGGAAGTACTGTGCCTCTGGATACTATAAGTAATAAATAAGAATTCTTCAATGTCCTATTATAGTAATTTGACAATGCTTTCTTGAATGCAATCAACTTTTCAAATGGATTAATTAATGAAAGCAACCGTACCTCTTGTTTTGCAGCTTCACTGAATTTTGACACTGCCTTGCTATAGTCTTGAGAATCTTGCTCTGTATAATGGACTCCAAGGTATGTCTGAGCCTACAATGAAGTATCACTTTCTTAAGTCACTTGCAAACAGCTGTACATGTACATGTAATTTGATGTGTTTTCAGAGTCTCCATTTATTTAGAGATTTACGACAGCAGATCTTTAGTGTCTGGTTGACTATAACTACCTGAGCTAGTCCTAGTTCGGCTGCTCTCTCCATAAGACTGATGGCTTTGTCCTCATTCTGTGTCACCCCTTCCCCCTCCTGGTACATCAGGGCCAGATTATACGTGGCCTGTGGGTGATTTTCTGCTGCTGCTAACTTGTAATACTTTGCAGCCTAAATAAAATATTACCTACATTAAGATGAATATCCACCTAAAGCCTCCCTTATCTGATTAAATTCTAGCACATCTTGATTAACATTTACACACTTAACTCACAATTTGTCTTCATTATCTGTATTTCTAACATTTTGCCTCATACAAATATTTTAAAAAAAAACTTTTGATAATTGTAGCCAAAACTGTAGTATGTACCTTTCTTACATCCTTTGTGACCCCCTGACCTGTTTCGTAGCTGAGGCCCAGGTTGAACTGTGATCTGGAGTGACCCATATCGCTAGCCTCCTTCCACATACTCACTGCCTCAGTCATCTCCCCTGTTTTAGCCTTGCATTGGGCTTGAATATTTTTAGCTATAGCCACATACTTCTGTACCACATTTTCAAAGTCGTTCATCACTTTTGCCAGTGGATCTTCTTTGTTTTCCTATTATACATGTACCAGGTAATGTTAAATGATAGTTTGTGGCTATTGCTAAAGAAATACTGAAGAATTACAATTTGATATAATGACCTATATTCTTTCAAATATAGTTCTTCCAAATATTCCATATTTGAGAGAGTCTTGCTCAAGAACTAATTAATGTTAGAAGTCCCTTATATGACCTACCCCTTCTAAAGGTGCCTTTCCGCTATCCTGGAGTTGTCCTTTCCGGTCCCCGAGCCTCCGTGCAGTGGCCGGTAGACAGTGTACAATCTGTGATATCTGGGACAGAAGACAATTCCTGGCATGTACAGGTTTCTCCTTCCTCTCTTGAAGTTTCTGGTGACATCTTGATATCTGTAGGCTAAGATATACGACTGCACCCTGAAAGTAGATGTAACATTAACAATGTTAATGAAAAATGAAAACTTCACCAATAAAGTAATGAACAGGACATTTCTCTTGGGTATGGTACTAACCAAACCTAAGACTCCTAGTGTGTCTGAAGAAGTGAAGCAATTCCATCGAGGTTTGCTATTCCACCACTCTCTCTCCCCTCCCTGGTCATTTCTATGGTTACCATGAAAATTATTTTTTCTGCAAATGATATGGAAATGGAAAGTAGACACTCCGATTTTTTAGTAACTTTCTCTGTCATTGTAGTTAAATTTAATTTTAATCAACAAAACCTGTGTTGATTTTTTTTACTTTAAAAAATGTGTTTATTTATCAATGTCTATATCGCTTCTCAAACTAATACACTACACTAAATTTGGAAACTTTAAAGGGTTTTCTTATCTATAGAAATATGATTTACTTCCGGTTTGTAACAAAAGAAAACTGGTAAACGGCAGGTGTCATTGACCAGTTTCACCAACCTTGTAGCGTGACAAACTCTGTTCTGGTCTTGTTTGTTCTGTTCCTCATCGAGACAGGCGGTGGTGTAAGGTCTCTTATTGTGCAGGTGCTGCCGTATCGCTGTGGACAAAAATAAACAAGTAGGTCAAATGCCATTTTGTAGGACAAATAAGAATGTCATCTTTCCGAAACGTAAATGTCATGGGATAAATAAAACTTCTTCGAAATGATGATCATGAAATACTTTACTTTTAATAGACCATTCTTCTTTCGTATAGATCTACACGTTTTGATAACAGCGCACTTGTATTGCCCTTGAAGATTTTACAGGTACTCTCCACAGCAGCTCGTATTGCGTCATTCACTCTAGCAAGTTAAAAAGTTAATTTTGTAATTTTTACCTCGTGGGATCCCACATATCCACCTCCACATGACTCGCTGGGTCTACATATTTAACAAAAACAATGCTTCTTCAAGTTTCTAATGTTGTTGCCACCATTAAATCTTTCCTGACGTCATTCTCTTCTTCTGAAAACTCAAGAGAGATTCGAATGGAAGGAAATTCCAATGATGTCATTTTTTGGGAAGCACCTTATCTATTTATAGACTTCCACCAACATGTTCTTCTGTTTTACGGCTTCTGTCAACATACATGTATGCGATTAATAAAATTATCAAGATTATTTTTATGCGCCCGAATAGATAAATCCGGGGCATATATTGTTTTTGTCCTGTTTGTCTGTTTGTTTGTCTCTTTGTCTGCAAACTTTAACCTTCGCCATAACTTTTGAACCATGAAAGATAGAGACTTCATATTTAGTATGCATACTATACTAATAAAGCTCTTTCAAATGACACAAAGGTCAATGACCTTGTGACCTTGACTGTGACATATATGCTAAATACAGCTTTTTTTAACCTTCACCATAACTTTTATACCATGAGAGATAGAGACTTCATATTTCCCGAATTGGTGTGCATAAGTTCTTTCGAATGACACTAAGGTGAATGACCTTGTGACACTGACTGTGACCTATATGCTAAGAATATATTTTTTGTCTGCAAACTTTAACCTTCGCCATAACTTTTGAACCATGAAGAATAGAGACTATATTTAGTATGCATACTCCACTAATAAAGCTCTTTCAAATGACACGAAGGTCAATGACCTTGTAACCTTGACTGTGACATATATGCTAAATATAGCTTTTTTTAAAACCTTCACCATAACTTTTATACCATGAGAGATGGAGACTTCATATTTGGTATGCATACTCCATATTTTTAAATGACGCCAAGGTCATTGACCTTGTGACCTGTATGCTAAAAATTGTTTTTTTCCCGAATTTTGTTGCCGCCAGGCGCATAGTGTTTCACAAACACATCTTCTTTTGATATGCAATTATCAGACCGAGTCTGATTTTAAAGGGGTCTGGACATAGATTTGAAATTAATATTTTCTCAATTATTAAAATTTTTATATAGCATTTCACATTTGATTTTATATCGTGATGCGTTTGATTGAAACATCCTTGCACTTTTAAATAGTAAACTTTATCCTTGATACTTATATGAAAATTAGAAATTTTGTTGTGCATAAATTATTGAAAATATTAGAGCTATAATCCAGAAAATTCAGATTGAAAATATTATCACTCCATCCGTTATCAGTGATGAAAGCAGAGATTTTAAGCAACATTTACACTGGTATCAGTTTGGCACTCCTTTCAATTAACTTTGGATCCTTAGATTTTTCAAATTAAAAAAAATCCCATAAAGAAAATAAAATGATAACGCTCCTCCTAAAAAAGGGTCCCTCCACGCTCTATGGACTTGTGACATGTACTGTGACGAAAACATAGAATATTTAATTCAAGCTTTATGTGTATTGAAAAGCCCCCCCCCCCGAGCAAAAATTATTGACTTTTTTCACATACTGACGATGTTTCCCACTCTCTTTTTTTTTGCGAATTTACACGGCCCAAATCAGTTATAAATCATCGTTTTCGTTTTAGTCATTTCTTGGTTAATTAACATTAATTGACAATTACAGCTCTTTGAATGGTTGCTTTCGTGCGGAATGGGTGACAAGTTTCTTAATTGCCGGAATACCAAACCAGATGCAAACTATGTTCTAATCTGTTTTCCTTGGGCTGGAGGAGGATCTAACTTCTATGCACAATGGGGAAAAATGACTCCTGATTTTGTTGAAGGTAAGAGATTAAAAAAGTCTATTTAAAGGCTATTTAACTCTTGATTTGGGTGATGATGTTAACCGACATATGCCAATGGGCCACAACTCTCACCTGAGTAAGCAGTCAAACTAAATAGTAAAGTGGGCCAAACTATTCAAAAGTTATGGCCAAGGTCTAAGTTCGGAATTTTTTTGGTGAAAGTGGGTCAAACTCGAAGGTCAAGGACACGAGGTCAAATTTGGCGGTACCCTTAGAAAGGTCTTCTCACAAGGGGTACATCTGTGAAATATGAAACCATAGCCCCACCCACTCAAAAGTTATGGACATGGTTTAAGTTTTTTGTGGACAAACAGACAGACATGTTAAAAACTAAATAACCCCGAATCTTCCAGGGACATGAAATATAAACTTTTGACTCAGGTTAGCTAATCAAGTATCTGTTTACCCTTTAGTTTGTGGAATCACTCTCCCCGGCCGCGAGTCTCGATTCCGGGAACCCTGTAACACAGACGCTAAACAGATCGTACAGGAGACATGCTCAGCTATCTACAACAAATACAGCACCAAAGATCTTATATTTTGGGGACATAGGTAAATGCACATTAGATTATGTAATGTTGATTCAAACTTAAGAAAATTTGCAAAATTTTCATTTATATTTGAAACTAAAATATATTCTTTTTAATAGAAAAGGACGGTATCATATGATAATCATCAAGTTAATTTTTGTCGTACTGTACCTATAATGATAGAATATGCACTTTAAAGTTCGATTGAACTTTCTCTTCAGTATGGGTGCACTGTTTAGTTTTGAGACAGCTCTGTTGATGAAAAAAGAATACAACAAGGAGCCAGTGAGGATGTTTTGCTCTGGAATTTCTGCACCACATGTTAGTAAATAAAATTCTGTCTGATCTAAACGATAGAAAAATTAACTTCATACAATTAATGTAATGTTTGATCTAAACGATAGAAAAATTAACTTCATACAATTAATGTAATGTTTTGTTTCAGGCCCCCGAGAGGACACGCTCTGAACCTAACGTGAAAGATATGACTGATGCAGAATTTGTAGAGTTTCTGAAAAAGTTGGGTATGCATTTTTTTCAGCCTGTCAGGACAAAGCCCGGCGAACATTTTTTTAGACGACCATAAGTACCTATTGAGAATATCATGCAGCAATTTTTTTTCCGGCAACTATATTTAAAAACACTTGAACCAATAACTTAACATTGTACCCTCATATAGGTGGAACGCCTGAGCAGGTGCTATCAGATCCCGAGATGATGAAACTTTTTCTCCCCCCACTCAGAGCCGACTACATCATGATGGGGGGCTTCGAGTAAGAAAAAAATAATTATACATGCAAAAATAATAATTTCCATTTTTTAAGAAAGCCTTTTCCAGTAGTTATTTTCTTATCACATGATCAGCTGAACTTATTTTTTTGATGTTTAGTTCTCCAGTAGGGCCAGATCCGCCCTTCTCCTGTCCTCTCCATTTATTCGATGGTGAAGATGATGCTAAACACAATTTAGAGGGTAAGAAAAATTAACGACATTATTTAAATACAGCATTTTTACAGACTGTACGTGAAAGTCTCTCTTTAAAAATGGGTGATGCCTTGCTTTATCGTCTGAGAACTTCTACAAAACATGCAGTTTTTATTCGATTTTCAAAAATTGTTCCTCTACAAATCTATACGAACAAAAATATAATATTTTCTAAAGTTTTACTGAGCGGTCTTAAAAATTCGATGCTCTACCTCTGATTGAGATGTTGGACCTGTCGATGAGATGTTGGACCGCTTACATGTACGTCACACAATGCGCGGAGCCAGATCTCATTTGCATTTTTTGGTGTTCGACAGTAACGGAGTTGTCCGAGTTAAACCACAAGTTACATCACAGTACAAGATTCATTCATGTCAAAAAAAATAAAAAATAAAAAGTATAACAAAACATTCATTGACTGTGTTCTTGGGCAAAATGCGTTTTGTCGACCCTCGAACCAAATTTTTTGCCTTCGGCGTTTGGTTCTTGGGTTAGCTGCAGATCTGTAGCGTTATGGTTTTATATATACATGTATTTGTCTTTGACCATAAAGCTACAGATCCCGTAATGCAATAAAGGTGCAATTTACGGCGTAAGATTTTTTGCGCACTTTTGGGGAGAATTTCTCCACTTTCTAGAATTGGTCAATCAACTACCTTTCACTCCCTAATTATAAATACATTCTGTAGCCAACCTGTATATTTTATCCACCTCCCAACCATTTATAGTTGTCTCTACAAGCAATAAACTCGCTTGAAGTGAATTTTCAGCAATCTAACATATAATTTTAATCAAGCGAGTTTATCACTTGTAGAAACGACTATAAAGGGTTGGGAGATGGATAAAATATACAGATTATTTAAATAATGTGCCTAGAATTAGGAAGTGAAAGGTAGTTAATTGATCAATGCTGGAAAGTGGAGAAATTGTCCCCAAAAGTACGCAAAAAATCTTTCGCCGTAAATTGCACCTTTTTTGCATTACGGTATCTGTAGCGTTATGGTCAAAGACAAATTTGACTAAAACTATGACAAATGGACTTCTATATAACATTTCTCAATCTGTGTTTGCAAGTTTTGCAAACCATCTTAAAAATGTCAGTGTTCCTTATTAACAAAACATTTACTGACTGGATTCGAGAGCAACATGCGTTTTGTCGGACCCAAGAACAAGCTGCAGATTTGTAGCGTTATGGTTTTATATACGGTATCCCAAGAAACAAACAAAGCGTCAAAACAAGTGACGTGTTGGGAATTATTTATCACAGACTTCCACCAACTCAAACTTAATATTCATTTTCAAGATTTGTTGGTCTATATTTTTGTGTGCGTTGATTGAGCTTGATTGTATATTTCCTTTTTATTTCATTCATTTTAGCTTGGAAGGACATAACTTCGGGAGAGAAGACAGTTCAGTTTTTGCCTGGTGGTCACTTCTACCTCAAAGAACCGTCCAATCAGAGTCTCCTGATCTCGTACATCTCCAAAAGCCTCGTTTGATCGGTGGAATTATGATAACATTGATTTTCTTTTTGTGCCATAAAACAATAAAATTCATATTAAAAATATAAAACTTTTTTGGTTTCATCAATCAGTCATTATGAAAACATTAATTTACGGACGGCATACAGCTCTTTAAATATTAAAACACTATAACATATTCAAAGTTAAATGAACCCTGTTACGCCTTCCCATTTGTCAGAATATTTTTTGCCCTGAAGAAAAGTTATTGGTTTTCCTTCAAAGAGAATAATAACTTCGGATTGGATGCAACTGGAATCTTACGACGACGGATGTTATATTTTACCACGGTCTCTGTGCATGCAAGTGCGCGTTTACTGTGAACTTCAGGGGAATTTATTAATATTCTTTAAAACACACAACAGTTGAATGGGGGATATGAAAAATAAAATCAGAGAAATCACAATTCATTAATAAAATGTAACGGTTGCATGCTTCTTAATGCACGTTTTTTAATGTTGTTTTCTGAAACTTGGTAACAGATGGGAAACATTCACATCGGATATTTCAGATTTTTTCCCCGATGATGGTTTCTAAATCACCGCCGCATGTGAACGAGACTCCCTAAGAGTTCAAAAACTACGATTACTAAATGTATACGAGTTCTGCGCGTGCAAAGACACGCGCACGTGTGACGGGGGAATTTTATGACCACACGACAAAGGTAAGCATTGTAGACATAATCTCATCTGCAAAAAACAATTTGTTATTTTTTGTCATATAATTTCTAATTATTCATTAAATTGACACTAATTCGAAAAAGAATATATTGATCACCCTGTACACATGCAGCTAGAGAACCATGGCGTTATGGTTTTTATTATTATTTTTTTTTTTTTTTTTTTGTATTTGACCATATTTTTCGTAAACTCAAGTTTATTCAGAGAAAGACTATTTTTGTCATGTCAGTTATACATACATACATACATACATACATACATACAAACATTTGGGTAAGAAAGATAGAGAGTTGGGCTGAGGCACCTTAAAAATAAAACATAACGCTATGTACAGTTCTGAAGCTACTACTTTTAACGAAATTTGTAAGGTCAATGAAATCTGAGTAAAAATAATATCTTAATTTTTTTTCGCACTACATGTTCTATGGCAATATGCTATTGATGAGTTAGAATATGGTAGGAAAGAAAGTGCAGCACAACAATTTAAAACCAAAGCGTATATCTAATCCCAGATGTTTTCGATAACCTTTCAGTTTGAAATTGATACTTTTTTTTTCTTCAGTGCATGCATAGATAACGGACAAACAATTTAATACTAATTGTAAAATATTTATTTTTGCCGTAAAATATCGTAAAAAGATAATATACATAACTTTATTAATATAATACCTCTAACAATGACTGTACTTTATTTCTCAGTATATCAAATTACAGCTATATACTTTAATGGAGAAATGGATTTGTACTTGGTGGGTATTTGCTAGACATCAATAAAAGGCGACAGAGAGTAAGTCCTTTATTTTAAAACCAATTCAAAAGAACAAAAAAGATTTAAATGTGATAATAAATTTGTCCATCCGTCTGTCAGTAGATAACTGCTCACTTTGCTTGTTTTCAGACCCACAGACAATGATTTTGTTGCACTTTGTGGCCGCTTCGCTGGTGTTCCTCTTCACCCAGGCTGTCTTTCGCTGTCCCGTTCTGGAGAAGCAGACATCATGCACGTGCCACGAGATCGTCTGGTGGAACAATGAAAGGATATCCATCGTCAACTGCAGCTTCACAAATCTAAAAATGATGCCTAATTTATCATCCCTGTCAAAACAAAACGTGACAAGGCTCTTACTGAACGGAAATGACATCTCTACACTATCCATATCTGATTTTGACGTTTGGAATATAATGGAACTGGACTTAAGCACAAACAAGTTACAGGCCGAGGGCATAGGAACGCTCTCTCATCTCGCGGGGGAATTGACAAAGCTTAATTTGGCACGAAATCGAATCACCATCAATGAAGGATTAATGTTCATAAAGAATCTAAGCATTTTAACAGAACTTATTTTGGATTCAAATATGATACTTAATTACCAAACCTATTCCCAGATTCTTCCAAATGATATTTTCAGAGAATTGAGGCTACATTCGCTTCGCAAGCTGAGTTTGAGATCGTGTAGTATTACAGCAATAGGACCGCGGGCATTTATTGGATTGGGATCGTTACGGGAACTTGATTTGACATATAATTATCTGGAAAAAGTACCTTCTGCAATTTTACAACTGCAAAATATGCAGAGGATATTTCTTGGTGGGAATGACATAATAACCGTAGACGCAAACAGCTTTGTAACTTTAGTACATTTGGAAGAAATAATACTTAACTACAATGAGTTGTCTTCGATAGAGGCTGGAGCGTTCGCAGGATTAGAAGGCAGCCTTAAAGAGCTTGAACTTTCTTCAAACTATCTTAGTCAAATACCGACAGCTGCCCTAAGGCCATTGAGGAAGCTTCTGTTTTTGAGAATTTCGAAAAATAACATTAGAACAATCGAACACGCTTTTCATGGCGAATACGCATTAAATATGTTAGAGCTCGACAGTAATCCTTTAGAGTTTAGCGCAGATACGTTTCAAGGCTTAGAACATTCCCTAGAAACTCTGTTTCTCAGAGACATTGGGGTGTCCGGAATTCCCGTAGCAGCATTATCGCCCCTGAAAATGTTATCATACTTGGATATTTCTCACAATCATTTTTCTAGTAAAACATTTGATTCCGATCTCTCTGTCTTGTCCGTCCAAACTCTTGTTATGAGCAACAATAGTTTACAGAACATTTCTTCCTCGGCCTTCTCAAGGCTCCGGAATCCAATCGGCCTCGACCTGGACAACAATAATTTATCCGACATTTCATTCATCGTCAGCGCTCCGTCGTGTTCGTTTCGTTATGTCGACGTCTCTGGAAATCCACTCGAATGCGACTGTAAAATAGAAGAAATTTTGCACAGTGGTACTATTTTTGGCATGGGATTAACAGGCTCCTGCTGGCTGAATAACACTGTATATGAACTTGGAAGTACTAAACTGGCAGCACAATTAAACACATTTTGTAATCGGACGGAGAGAAACGTAAGGTGCCCGGGAACGTTCGATTCGAATAGCTCAATACAATCAAACAGTGGATTAAGTTTGATAAATGTTTGGTTACTACTTGTTTGCATTCTTCTTCAAAAATGCTGGAAATAAGATTAATTGCAACATATAAATTCAAAGAAAAGATAATCAATAATAGAACTTTGAGATTTTTTTGCTTAAGTCTGTTTTTGTATGTCTGAAAGCACGCAGCAGAAGTGTAAAACACCAAGTGCACACTTCTAGAAGGCTGTAGATCGGCAGTTTTTCGAGGCATATCGTAGTCATGTTGACTTAAAGATAATTAAAAGTACGTGAAAGAAGTTGTTATCATTGAACTTCCATGGCCGCATAAATTAAATGAAAGTGGAATGAATACATTCGTTTTGCACGATAAGAAACAAAGGTTTCCAATTTGGTTATAGACCATAAGATTATACAGCTGATTTAAGAAACTAATGTACAAATGTTTAGCAAATTTTGCGAAGCCCGGAGAGCTTCAACATGCCAGGATGGAAGGCAGGGGACACTGCGGAGAAATCACCATCAGTGCATTATGCAAACTGGAAGGAGAACATTTTGTTAAAGAAACAAATGCATGTTCTGGAGAGAAGCGAGAAGAATGTGATTCACAGAATCAAGATAGACCAGAAAGTGTTGTTTAAAAGATTCCAGGATAAACTCTACAGATCTAAGCTATGCGAGGCTCGTCTGCACGGAAACAAGGAAACCGAGAGGGTACTGCGCGCCAAGCATCATCATGGACTAAACACTGATTTTGGAAGCGCCGAAAAAGATTACGAATTCCTCACAAAGCTTCAAAATAATAGAAAAAGGACGGATAAAAAACAAAACAAGCAAAAGAAACCACCAGCAATAAAGGTTACAACGTCAAAGGTTGAGAATAATGGTCTTATCGATGACGTATTTGTGGAGGACAAAGGTCCTCGGCGCAGGAGCAACTCCATCACAGAAGGTATGGCGTCAAGGTCCACTGGCATGACATCAGGGTCACTTCTTCAACCAAAACCTTCAGAACGACCATCAACCACGGGAAGTAACCCATTACCGCGACAGATTGAAGTCGGCGTTAAAACCCTGTCTATTACAAAACCCATTCTTATGAATATTTCTACAAAAGGGAAGAGTCCAGAAAATAAACTTATGCATGCGACTTTGGATAAATTACCGAAAAACAAGACACGACCACATACTTGCAAACCTTCACTGTTGCTACAGGTAACGCAAGAGGCAACCGCAAAACAGCGGGTATCTGAAACCGAAAATCACAGGAAGAAATCGTCAAGCTTCTTTGAAGATGAGAAGAAAATAGACATTGTAGACCTTCAATTAAAAGCTATCAAGTCTCTTAATTACGATGACAAAATTAAAGAGTTTGTAGACTCTCTAAACGAGTTCGTTGTCGATGATATTGAAGATCGGGATTACTACACTCTAAGGCTTCGGGCAGCCATGAAAGAAATGTATGAAAATAGATACGACCCTGTACCCGGAACACCGGAGGACGAATATAACCGGCACGTAGGGAACTTAGAACTCAAAAGTTTGACTTTCAAAAAGATCAACCTCGATTTCAGTTCACGTGATCTCGTGACAACAGCAGACAACTTCCGTCCTGACCTTCAGCCAGTCATTTTGTCTTCCGATGATTCTAGTGACGATGATGATGACGAATGAAAATACATGTAGTTTCTCGTCTGGTGATCAAAAATATCGGCATAAACTGAAAGAAAATGTTCTTTAGATAGAGAACAAAACTAGAAAAATTATTTTGGAATTTAATTGAACTAAAAATGAAATAAAGTCTGTGAAATAACAATCATTTATTTACTTGATGTGGCTATATGTTACTAAGTATGAGGTTAATGTTCAGTATGAAAATGGACAAATCTAAAATGATTAAATTCATCAACATTGAACTGCTTTTTATTTTACACCAATCAACTAGAATTACACTGTAATGCTGTTCCTTCCACCTTTGGTGCTACAGAAATCAAATTTTTTTCATCAAGCACAGTAATTACATTTTCATACAGTCAACCATTGTTTTAAGTATAATAGTGTGAAATACATTGTTAATTTTACCATATTACATAAATAATAAATATCAAAAAATGCCAACAAAAAGAATTCACAATAAACATACACATTTTAATTTATACCTTTAAAATTCCATTAAAATATCTTTCTCAACAGGTGTAAATATAAAAATGCATCTAAAAATATCACAGAAACACTGGAAAGCATATACATGTACAACCTTAAACTACATAAAGAAAGGCACAGGAATGGTTCAAATGCTAGTTTAATATTGTTCAAAGATACAGAAAAATGGGTTGGAAAAAAAACCCATTGAAATCATCTTACACTTGTTATAAAAGTCACTTCATAACATTTCTTCTGATTTAATAATACAAACTCCATGTATAGTGTTGCTGTCGGAACATATACACAAATATTTATACACAATACTAAAGGCACACTGCATAAAAAATTAAATATGGGCCTACTAAAATAAAATTTTAATTTCATAAATTGCATAGATCATTTTTTTTTATCTTTAATTTCTCAATGGTGAAATATTTCAGAGACTTCGTACAGCAATGCTACTGACTAGATTCACTATACAAAGGTGGAGGTGGATGAACTAATCTAACCTTGACCTTTAAGGTCAAATACAGTTACTGAGTAAAACATGCTTATAGCAAACACTCCTACAATTGATGCTTACAATGACATGATTTCATATATATTTTTTTTAATTTATTGTGAAGCTGACTGAAATAGCAAATTATATTCATGATGAAGCAAGATGTCCATCCATAAAATCTCATTATAAGCAGGTTTTACTGTATTTTCTAGTTCCTGCACAACTTTCTGGAGAACTTTATATCAATGTACTTGTATTAAAAATATGAAAGAATATTATATAAGGAATCTACACAATAAGAATTGCTCAAAATCAGATTATGATGTGTCATCTTTACTACTCATAAATCTGGTGTGCACTGAAGATTAGGTCAAGAGAAAAGAAAATGTGGGTAAAACTAGGAACTAACATACACTTATATATTGTCATTCGATTTAGAATCTTATGACTTAACTTAATAACTTTCATCTTTCAGCTCAAAACATATTACTTAAATGTGAGGTATGAACTGGGCAAAAGAGGAATTTCAAATACAATCACTTACTGTAAATCACTTTTTATTCGCGAGAACCTTATTTTCACGTAATTATGTGAGACAGTGTGCTCGCGAACATTAAATTCTCGCCTATAATAGTATTCCTTAAGATTATATAGAGCAGTAACCACAATTCGTGAAAATTTTGTTTCGCTAATCAAGAGTCAATGACTATCTCGTGAAAATAAGGGGTCGCGAAAATTTAGTGATCTACAGTAGTCCAGAAAGACCTGACATAATGCCCTTTAGAGGGATATTTACTCCTGGTTTTAGTTGAAAGTAACAACTAAAGTAACAAGTCAAGTAATTCATCTAAATCTAATACATGTAGCGGGTACATCTACCAAAAAGTTCTCTTTAAAATGTACAAAATTGAAATGTATTTAACTTTGTTCAGACATCTCTACCCATTATCATAATGACACTCTTTGAGTCAAATGTGAATGAGAGTGAGCAAATAAGAGAGAAAATATACCCAGTGAGTTATACAAATGCACCACACTCAAAGTTACACAGAAATGGCTCATATGACTAAATCAAAGTACTGTAAACCGACTTTTAATTGTGATAACTTTATTTTGTGATTTTCGGGGGGTAAACTTGTTTGCGACAATTAATTTTCAGAATAAAGCCTTTTGTTGGATCCATTGTCGATAGAGAAAGAGACTCTAGGAACCGGTTCATGGCAAGAAATATTCGCAATGACGAGGGTCTCGTGAACCACGCAAAAATTTCTTGCACAGGAATAAAAGTTGGTTTACAGCATTTTAATGCTTTGTGATCTCGGGGAAAGGCCTTGCTTTGAGGAGACCCTCCAGGGTTTTGGGGATTGAAGGATCGCTTATGAATTCCTCTGTCACTGGGCGTCCATTCTTTTGAGCAGCTACAACCCAATCTGTCAGTGGGTCCATAGGGGTTACTATATTTATAACTCGTCTGTAAAAGAAAAACTTTCTCTTGTCAATTTTCTATAATTAGATTCATTGCAATGAAGAAACACTAGTACAGTTGAACCTCTAAAATGTTACCATAGCCATCCATGCAATTTATTTTTTTCTTATAATACAATTTTTTCTCCACATGATATCTCAAGAAGCCTTTGAGCTTTAGTGATGAAATTTTACACAACTTCTTATAGCTTAAAAAAGACCTCTATTGAGCACGAGGTCAAAATTACATTTTCTTGATGAATGACTAGTTTGAAGTTTTGGAAAAGGCTATTCCTAATTAACTACCAGCCCAATATAATTAAAATTGCTAAATGTTGCATCTTTGGATGTACACTTCTGGATTATCAGTTTAATGTGGAACTTAACTTTGACTTTTTATTTCATGAAAAAGAGTTTCTCTCTATGCCACTAAATAAAATACATACTATAAAGTAAAATTTTCCTCAGTGGTCTACAGACCTACCAAACATTATAAAAATTCTAATAATCAAAAAGGGGAATAATCCCTATTCTGAAAAATCATCTGAACATATCTTACCCCGAGTTTGCTGGAATGAAATCTGCTGTTTTCATTTTTTGTCTCAAGGACACAAGGTATGCACTTTGACCATAATACCTCGTATAACCATACCCTCCACGAGTCTCATTAATAAACACACATATTTCTCCATAAAACATGAACATCACGCAATAGACACCATCCTCAACCTGAAAGAAAACCATTACCACTAATGAGAGATGTAGTGTAATTATCTGAACTCAGTTCAATTTATCACATAATATTTCGAATCCTGATTCACTCTTTAGCTGCTGTATAATGAAACCCAAATAAAACAAGAGGCCCAAGGGCCTTGAATCGCTCTTCTGATAAATTATATAATCTATCCTATGACCCAAGATGCATCAACTGACAAAGTTTGATGATTCTTAGCCAGTTAGGGCTGAAGATATTTAGATGTAACTCTAAAATACTATAAGTAGGTCATGGTGACCTACTTTTTGATTGAAATTTTCTGAGGACACAAGATGCATTAATGGACAAAGATTGATGATTCTAAGTCAATAAGTACTTGAGATATTCAAAAGTGGGTCAAAGTGACCTACTTATTGGTCAACATTCTTCGAAAACCCAAGGTGCATAAACTGACAAAGTTTGACAATTCTAAGTCAATAAGTACCCTAGAATACTTAAATATAGCCATAAATGTCACAAGTAGGTCACTGTAACCTATATTTTGATCATCATTCTCCGAGAACCCAAGATGCAACAAATAATAACGTTTGATGATTTTAAACCAATAAGTACCCAAAATACCTAAATATAGCCATAAAATGACAAAAGTAGGTCACTGTGACCTACTTTTTGGTCGACATTCTCTGAAAACCCAAGATGCATCTACTGACAAAGTTTGATGATTCTAAGCCAATCAGTACCTGAAATATTCAAAAGTGGGTCATTGTGACCTACTTTTTGGTCAACATGCTCCGAAAACCTTAGATGCATCAAATATGACAAAATTTGATGATTCTAAACAAATTAGTACCTGAGATACATAAAACTATCCATAAATTGTCAAAAATAGGTCACTGTGACCTTCTTTTTGGTCGAAATGCTCCGAAAACCCAAGACGCATTGAATGAAAAAGCTTGATGATTCTTAGCCAATAAGTACCTGAGATACTAAAATATAGCCATAAAATGTCAAAAGTAGGTCACTGTGACCTACTTTTTGGTCGTTAATTTTCGAAAACCCAAGATGCGTCAACTGACAAATTTTAATGATTCTAAGCCAATTAGTACCCGAGATACTTAAATCTAACCATGAAATGTCGAAAGTAGGTCACAGTGACCTACTTTGTGGTCGAAATTTTTTGAAGACTAAAGATGCATCGACTGACAAAATTTGATGATCATAGGTCTAATAGTATTCAAAATATGCCTTTTAAAACAATTTGAAAACAAATGCTTGCAAAGTTAAAAAAGTAGGTCACAGTGACCTACTTTTTGATAAATATGTTTGAAGGCCTCTAGATGCATCAACTTACAAGATTTGGTGATTCTAAACCTATCGGTGTCTGAAATAATGGGATTAAATGTTTTAGAAAAGATTAGCCATAAAATTCAAAAAGTAGGTCACGATGACCTACTTTTAAATTGATGTTGTTTGTGGACCCAAGATGCACCAACTGACAAAGTTTTATGATCATAAGCCTTAAAGTGTCCAAAACATGCCTCCAAATCAATTTGAAAACAAAAGCCCGTAAAATTTAAAAAGTAGGTCATCGTGACCTATTTTTGTATCAACATGATGTCAAATCCTGAGATGCATCAACTTACAAGATTTGATGATCCTAGTCTTTATAGTAAGCAAAATGTCAAAGTCTTTAATAAGTGTAAATTTTGGTCAACTTTGAAGTGACCTTGAGACCATGCCCTTTGCCCCAGGGTCATGCCTTGAACAATTTTTAATCTTCAACATATCCTGACCCTTGTATGTAAGTTTGGTGAAAATCTGCCTGGTGGTTCTGGAGAAGAAGATTTTTTAGCAACCAGTACTTTGGTTTTATTTTCGTGATTATCTCCCCTTCTTTTAGGGTCCCACCCCTAATTTTAGTATAAATGGTAGCCCTTGGGCCAAGGATACCCTGTGACAAATTTGACAATAATTGGCCAAGGGGTTCTTGAGTTATGGCCCATATTCTAAAACGTTAACGCACACTGCACGACGCACACCGCACAAATGGCCATAGCATTAGCTCTTGGAGCCTTTGGCTCGGAAGAGCTAATAATGAACCAAGGGTCCATAATATTTTATCCTGCCTCTGATAAAAATCTTGAAATTTCATTGATCGAGAAGAATACTGCAGGAAACGATGTTATGCTGTCTACCAACCTCATATTACTAATGTCCCCCCTCCACGTGACCAACCTACCACACATCAATATTGAACATGCCGAATAGCTGACGTCATATACTGTAGATCACTATATTTTCGCGACACCTTATTTTCGCGAGAAAGTCATTGACTCTTTATTAGCGAGACATAATTTTCACTTATTGTTGTTTTTCCTCTATATAATCGTAAGGAATACTTTTAAATACGAGAATGAAATGTTCGCGAGCTTCTTGACTCACATAATTACGCGAAAATTAAGTTCTCGCGAATAAAATGTGATTTACAGTAATATACAATTATGGACTTCAGTGTAGGTCGATATGTGGTTATAAGGACTCATGGCAATTGATATTGAACGAAGACACAGAAAGTGATAGCAACCGAGCCTGCGAGGTCGCTATCATTTTCTGTGTCTGAGGTCAATATCAATTGCCATGAGTCCTTATAACCACATATTGACCGTTCACTGAAGTTGATAATAGTTATATTACATAATCACTAAAAGTGAATGCACCGACACAGTCCTAACACAACGGACTTGGCTGTCATTACGTCACAATGGTTAAATTCACGTTTCTTTTATTATGACGTCACGTTCTACGTAACTTCAGTGCAACCGAATGGCGTGCCGTGTGATATCATTTTCCGCGGACGCGCTTTCACATGGCTATCGCAAAAGGAGGAATGTCATGTGACGTCCTTTCAGCCAATGAAAACTACGAAAATAATCCACTTATATAATATACATTAAATGACGTCACAATGTACAGCTGTAAACAATTGTTACGGAACTGTTAGCTAACTCAGAAAAAGTGTGAACTATATTAAGAAATCTTCGACAGGATAAATTCGTTATGAAGACACTTAGAGGGGTTACACAAAAAATACATATTGGGCTCCGCTTACGCCTCGCCCAGTATGCATTTTTCCAAGGACCCCACATACATTGTATTACTCCTCTAAGTGTCTACATAACTATTACATGATGTAATATCTATAGTATACTGAATGGTTGCAATAACCATTTTATATAGCAAACTTTTGACTGTCACAGTAGGAATGAAGAAAACATGTAGCAATAAGTCTTGAGACACAGATGACCTAAACAAAAATCGCTTTAAGTCTATAAAACCACTGAAATCTTACCGTACTTAGTCGAACATCACTTTGTAATTTCTCTGTGTCATATTTTTCTTCGACCCTGCACTGTTTGGCTAGAGTAATAAAAGCATCAGCAGGGGCATATCTGAGCTCAGGAAAACTTTTAGGATTGACTTCACATTCATCCATAAATAATAGCTGGACAGAGCTGTGTATGCTCAGTGTGTAGTTAACATAGTCGCCATCAGTGTACTCATCACCACCTGTTAATTAAGGTGTTTAATAAACAACCATCAAACCAGTCAAAATATGTACAACAAAAGAGTGTTTAGAAGTTGAAAAACATGAGTAGAGTATCATTTGAGGAGCAGAGCAAACATATACTGTAGAAGTACTTTTTACCGCAAGGTATAAATTTACACTACGTATGTGGTCACAAATTTTCCATGGAAATTTGTTCAAGCGTACTTAAAATAAATGTAAGACATATAGTGACAGTCTAAGAAATTTGCATAATTTCCTACATGCAGATTAAACAGAAATTGAGATTCCACAAAATTATGGAAAAACAGTATTTGAAAAAGTGAAAACATTTTTTAAACAGCATTTTAATAAGATTGCAACTCCCCTATAAATGTTTTTCTCTCATCACTTTAGAATGTTACACATAATAATACAAATTTTTGTCTTCTTGGAAGAAATACTAGTTTGAGTGCATAAAGAGAAATCATTTTATTATACTAGTTTTGAATTTAAGAAAAGTTTGGTTCACTAAAACTTTTGATGTTATGTTACCTGTACTTAATTGATCCTTAACAAATGCATTAAACCATTAACTTAGTAATTACTGCTTTTGACAGCATTTTGATAGGATTTTTTTTTTTCAGAATAGAATGCTCAAAACAAGTTGAGAAAGTAAGTGCAATTAAGAGAGAAAAAGAAGAAAAATTAAGACATTAAAAAACATGCAATGTACTTCATACCTTTCTGCATAAATGATTGAATAATGCCCCATTGCCTTTCAGAAGTAGTGATTCAAATTTATACGTTTACAACAAAATTAGTTAAAAAAATTACAATAGATAATCAGCTTATTTAGTTATTTCATAATAGTTTTAACCTTGTCTTAATTTTCCAAAAGAAAAGCATGCGACAGTATAGCTTCCTGGGGCTAGATCCACCTCACACGTGGTGAGACCGCGAGCTCGCCTCTCACTGTATTCCATCACGCGACTAAATAGTGGGGCCTGTTTAAAGGGAAGTCCTGATCCATCCACATGGTTCTGTAGTACCATGATCAGCAAATCTACAAACTCTTCTACCTGTATCCCAGATCCTCTAGAAGAGATTAAATAATGACTTTAACTGCAGAGAGCACCATTAATAGTATACTATCAAGTTTCTCTTTGACCCAATTTATTTCAATTATATATTTATATATACTTTCTAGTAATGTTTAATTTGATGAAGGAAACTGTATTGGGTGAAATACATTTTTTTTTGCAATTTTCTCAATCCAATAAAATTGTGATTTTTTTTTTTAGAAAGAATTGGAAAAATATGTGCTAAAATGTCAACTTGTCAAGTTATGTTAAAATGTCATTAAATGACACTGAAGAGATAAATAATGTTTGAATGAATATAGCGTCCTGGATTGGAAAAATAAACAAAATTAAAACATCTGCCATTATAAATCCTTCTGCAGTACCTCATGCTTTTCTGGAAGAGAGAGAGCTTTAGTTTGGTATCCATGGTCAGTCTGAAGCTGTAATACTTCCAGTCATCACTGAGTTCTGGGAGGAACACGCCCTTAAATCTGGACTCGAACCACCCAGCCTCTGTCTTACACACAGACAGGGAATTAAAGCACCTGGAACTTCAAATGATAAAAAACAACTTACACACGGATAGTTTCTGACATTCAAACTGAGCTAAACACTTATTTAAGAAAATAAGTTTAAGGTCAAAGGTAAAAAGAAAATGCAGATGTACTTGAATATAGTTCTCAACAGTGCATATCAGCATGCCAAGTTTTATATCTTGAAAAGTTTCATTGAAAGTGAACTAAAAGCAAAGTGTGATGGAAGGACAGACAGAAGATGGACATGATAAATACGGTATAATTAAAGCAACAAAATTAATATTTCAAAGTGAAAAAATATTGTGTCTTACTTCATAAATTCTTCTTCAAATAAAATCCAGAATTCTCCTTTCTTGAGATTGCGGAGGAGCTTCTTTTTATCTTTCTGTAAAGAAGAGTTCCGTAGACAACCTGTGATACAGTGATGATGGTCAGGGGAGGTCCACAGCTTCATCAGTCTGTGTGAAAAAGGGACTTTTAATACAGGTATACACTATACAGTCATATCTAATTTATATTCCATGAATATATTTTATAAAAATAGTACATGTAATTTATTAATAAAGATAGTTTCTTGAATTTAATGTAATTAGTGAATGAATTGTTTCTCAAGTTTACTGTAATATTATTCACTTTTATAGCAAAATGCATTCACTAAAGGCACTTGACATATATATTCAGCATACATGTATATAATACTCCACGTGTCTGTAAAAATACATTTATCTTTTTAACACATAAAGAATTTCATCTAATTATGCTAATTTATTCATGCTAAATGCATTTTAATGGCTTTGTGTGGAGATACAAAATAAATATATTTATAAAAGTTATGGTAAAACACGTGTGTTTGTTTTGTATGCAGATTAAGTCCATCGATAAAGGAGATCGATTGGTTGTTTATTTGTTTACGGGTGAATAGGTTAAAATCTGTGCTACAGTGATAAAGTCACGTAAAAGGTAGAAATTGATTTTGTTATTGTTCGCTGCTACATTGCAAAAAGATTATGTATCGCTTAATCTACAAATCAGATTTATATTTAATATAGCACTTAGCTTCATGTAGAAACAGTTGCTGATTATCCACAACACAAATAGAGCAGGTTCTGCATTTTACACGTTTGGATTCCATGTGGGGAAAAATTGGCACATTTGAAGGTGCAGCTATAAACTGGTAATTTCTTATTTGCGACTTTCTCAAAGAAAGAATGAAAGTATAAAAATAACATTAGAATTTAAAAACACTGTTTATATTATTAATGACACGGTACAACGGGACCACAAGCTCACTCTGTGTCTTTCACATTAAGGCAACAAAATTTTATTCTGTTAATCGTAATTCCTGAAAGCTTGAGTGATTAAAACGTTTGCCAACGTCTAATCTTCTGCCAGTTTTGTTTCTTTCATTGTTACTAAGCCTCATAGACCATAGGACTATGTAAGCTTACTTAAAACAACAAACAGCAGACGAGGCACGCGCAGAACAGAGAATCTGGTAAGCATTTGGACACAGATTAATGTCCGTTTTTCAGCTTGAATTTAGCTTTGTAAAAAAAAAAAAAAAAAGAAAAGAAAAAATAATAAATATATATACATGTGTTACTTGAGAATGAGTATAATTCTAGTAAAGTCACGGTAGTAATTAATGCACGTACGTACCTGGTACATGTATATATAATTTTATATCCATATGATGGCTTGGTATTTGGTAGCAATTATGAACAAAGTTCCACTGTTTCTAACAGGGGTTCAAAATTCCCCAAGCCCGACGTCCCGGACTAACAAATTCCTGATCCGGACTCGGCATTTAGAATTCACCAAAGTCCTGGGACTTGGCTATGTTTCTTGTTTATCTTTTTTTTAAGTTAAGATCATAAAGCTAAAAATAAAGCAAGTTCTCAAATGTATTAAGTAAAAATGTGGGTTTGGCATCACTTTGAGAATTCTGCGACATTTTTATAATTTTCAATTATTCAAGGCCTGGTTTGAAATAAGTAATAATTGGATTACCTTGAAGTCTTGATATCTAAGGGTGGGGTCATATACATTTTGATAATTTTATGTCAATGCTTTCTTTATCGTCGAAGTCTGTTGCACTCGCGCATGCGACTCATCCTATATAAAGTGTTTTTGAAATTTATTTATAAATAATTTATGTTCGTTTGAACTGGTGAATTTAGAACATAAATATATTTATAAAAGTTATGGTAAAACACGTGTGTTTGTTTTGTATGCAGATTAAGGCCATCGATAAAGGAGATCGATTGGTTGTTTATTTGTTTACGGGTGAATAGGTTGAATCCGTGCTACTCATGATTCAGTCACGTATAAGGTAGATTTTCAGGTGTTTTAAGTTATTTGAAGTTCGCTGCTACATTGCAACAGACTTATCCCCCGCCCCACCCACCCCTTCCAGTATGATCGATATACTGAACATGTTAAAATGTTCGTTTTAATGTTGACTGTCGCTTTATTTGTTTCTTTTTCTTTTGTAGAATGATTTGGATTTCAGAAGTTAAACTAAAGACTGTGCTTTGTATACTGTATACACTTCATTAAAGTCTGTTGCACTCGCGCATGCGAGCTCATCCTATATAAAGTGTTTTTGAGTTTTATTTATAAATAATTCATGTTCGTTTGAACTGGTGAATTTAGAACATAAATCACCTATTCATCTTTAACATAATTTCAATTTTTACAGAAGAATAAAAGAAAATTTTTGTCCTCAAATACCTTTTGCCATCTGCTGTCTCTTCTATGTCCAAGATAGGATAACAGTGGGCTTCTACAAGTTCCTCATGAGCAAGTTTTGGGAAGGTGCTGACTCCAAGTAAGTACCTTAAAACATGTATTTGAAATGAAACATAGAGACTTGTCAGTTAATTGGTAAAAGGAAAAGGCCATTTTATGCAAAAAGTGAATCTAGTTTGTGTGCATAGAGTATGCTAGGAAATGCTACCTTGATGCTCTCCAGTTCTTTAGATCCTCCCAAAGCTTATCTGGATCTATCTTCAGTTTCTTGTCATCTTTTTTCTGAATATCCTCTCCTTCAAAATATAAATTATGACAATTAACTATAAGAATTTCTTTCTTTTCATAACCAAGCAAACAGGTATACAATACGTTTATTTTCAAAAATTGCATCGATATGGATGGTTTTGATGCCTACACAGTAAAGATCATGAAATTCAATCATGTATTTTTTTTACTCATAAATACTTTTAACCAAATCATTTATTGTTGCTATGCATGACAAAAGAAGTTAGTAATAGACAGTCCGAGTGACTCATGGCTCTAGCTGACATACACTGTATGAAGTAAAATGGACTATAGTACTGCAATGACTGAATGAGCAAAACAAACCTCCAAGGTCAATGTGTTTACAAGGTTCCCCAGTCAACAGGGCCAGTGACTCCACTACCAGACCAGAATATAAAGCCCTGTATCCTCCGTGAAGCTTGGCTGCCGCCTTTTCCAGCAGCATCACCCACAATTGTTTATTATGAGGCTGGAAACAAGAAACAACAACATAACTTGAAAACCTTTACATATTCATGTACTAGTTGCATTTTTCCAAATACCTGTACATGTAAATGCAGCACCAAAAATTTAACACTAATGACTTACTTCAGTCCTTGCAAAATTATTAGAATTTCAATAAGTATTATAATTTATGATATATAGTAACATTTGATACTACAAACAGTTTAGATTTACAGTAGTCAATATGCTACATAAACATACTCTTGCATATTTGAGATTTCCATGTTTATCACAGGGGAATCGGTCGTCCACAATGACTGTTTTCCAGTTGCCGTCCTTGCAGAGTCGGACCTGGTATAAGCCTTCTGCACAGTAGCTCTCTGTGATCAGAATTTCTCTCAGAAGCTCCTCCCTCTGGGCCAGCAAACTGACTGAACACAAGAACCTACAAAGTAGAGCATTAATTATTATGAAGCCAAAGCAGGACTTCTCTTTGGTGATTCAAAACTGATCTCTTTAGAATGATAATTTTGTTCCCAGAATTGATCCAAAAACATTTTCTTTTTCAATGCCTGGAGGCCTCAGATACTGTGAAATTTTCAAGGATTTTGAGGCATGGAAAGACCCACAAATTCATGACCACTGCAAAATGTAAAATTTCTCCAACCACGAAATCAAATCCACACAAACCAATATTTTTTCCTCAAACCTTGAAAATTTGACCCCAAGACAATATGTGATTTTACAGTATACTTTGAAAAATAAGCTAACATCAATGATGAAGAGGCTTGATATAATAAATGATTTTCCTACCAGCAGTTTTCTGCTGATCCCTGTATGGCATCATCAGGGCTGGGGTTCCTGAACACAGTCCAGGGTTCTCTCCCTTTACAACTTTTGTCTTTAATGTTCCCTATTCTCTCCCAGTGCTCTCCATCTCTGTTTGGAACACTAGGATCTGGAAAACTCTCATCTTTATACCTTGTTTTGTTCTGTGAAAAAAAAAACTTTAAACAATAAACATCATCTATACGAGGGTTGTCCAAAAAGTTTGTGGACAATGATGTTTTTGTGAAAATAAATAGATCTATGTAAATCTGCTGTATATCAAAATATTTCTTATGAAAAAACAAGTCAGAATGAATTAATTTTTTTTGATGGAACATAATATTTTTGTAAAATATACATCTATATGAGTTGAAATATCTTTTACCCAAGGTTAAAATGACATAAACTGTGATATAAAGTGTTCGGATTAACATGATTATTTTCTATATAAAACAAGTAAAAAATTAATAAAAATTTTATGTAACACAAATACAGAGGCTATAATACTTTTATGATAACTTAAGTCTCGCTTACTATATAGACAGTGCAAATTCTTAACAAAAACCCTAACAAATATGTGCCAAAACTCAACAGAAAAAGCGACGTTGGCCATCCGCACAATTATTTATTTTAAGGAAGGTTTTTAAGTTTTGTGTGATTTATTGGTATGTGAATCACACAGACTTGTCATGTAGGCATATTTCATGAAGCGCGCTAGCGCTTCATGAAAAATATGCCTACCTGCAAGTATGTGTGATTCGCACACCAATAATTCACACTAAACTTAAAAACATTCCTTATATTTACATTTTACATGTTTGGAAGCATCTGAAATATACTCAATATTTGAATTTTTCGCTGCCCTATATCGTTGTATTTTTACTAACGTCGCTGCATCCTCATTGTGATATCATGTTAACGCACATTTCTCTGTGAATATTTCTATACAGGAAAATGGTATTCAAATCAATTTCACTGTTGGCTTAGTAGAGAAACACAGCGAATGAAAATATTGAAATATATTTATTGTATCGATTTGAGATTGGTATATACGATTTTTCAACAGAGTGCACAAATTCGAAGACACTCCAAGAATTTAAAAACATATGTAATTTACTGAAAATGGAGATTTCTATTCATGACGTTGTTATAAATCTAGTGCAGCGTCGGACTGGGCTGTGCAGTTTGTGTATACAAACTGTTTATATAGATGACACCCGTAAGTTTTTGTGCATTGTTTTGAATTTTAAAAATTAAATAAATTATAATCTATACTTAAAGATTATTGCTAGCGCTTGGAAGTGCATTGTGCTTAAAAAAGAAAAGTAGTGTGTGTCCATAAACATGTGTTAAGTCAAAATCCAAATGTTTGAAGTTATAATGAATTATATAGGTTAATGTCAGACTGGTCTGTGCGCATTATCTGCAATCTTTAAAGACCCTGATTTTTACAAAAATATTAAGTTTCATCAATAAAAATTAAATCATTCTGACATGGTTTTTTATGAGAAATGTTTTGATATACTACAGATGCATATAAAACCATATATTTTAAGGAAAATGTCATTATCCACGAACTTTTTGGACAACCCTTGTAGGTATCTCTAAATTTCACATCTCTTGGTTTCATCCTTTTAATTTCTGTAGAAAATATAAATGGACCTTTAAAATTCAAAATATTTCTTATATTTGTTTGCATTAATTATTCTAACAGTTATCTTAATTAAATTGAAATGAACAGAAAATATACATGTATATGAGTTGAAATATCTTTTACTTTAAATATAAGTACTTAATTAAAATCTTACATTTCTGCAATAATCTGTAATATTTATAAAGATTTGTTGAGCAATTTGTTTCTGTCTATCTCTCTCCTTATCCACACGAATGCTGCGTCCTGCCTTCAGCCTGCTTCTATTTAACTGTTTCCTTTTCTTTCTGTTTTTAATGTCCCCTTCATCAATAGATTCTTTCTTTCTTTGTTTGCACATTTGGCAGTCTAACTTTAAGTTTCCACCTTTGTGGCAGATCTTACAGGTCCATCCACCACTTGACTTTTGTTTGTCACTGCCCAGATCCTGGGAGTCAGAATTTGCTCCATTAAAGTGATCAACAGCAGAAGAACTTGTTTGTACAGACTCCCTAACTACAGCTTCTGCTGAGTCAGATTGTCTATTTATGATTGATTTTATTCCAGTTCCAATATCTTCCTCTTCTTTCTTTTTGTCATACTTATTAATAATGGGTTTGTATTCCTTTTTGATCTCTGAACTGTCCTCCACTACCTTATCTTTGTCTTTATTAAACCTCCTGTTACAGGTCTCACATTTCTCCCCTGCTTCTATCCTCCGCTCACACCTATAACATTCCCAACTTGAAGTAGGCAATCCTGAAATATTTACTTTCATATACTCAATTGTAGAATTGATAAAAAAAAAAAAATATGATTGTGCAAGAAGTATATACTTTTTATACAAAAAATTGTATTTAAATGTTGCCTTTAGAAACTCTTTCTTAATTAAGATATATAAAATAATAAACTTTACAAAATACATACATCGTACCTACTATCATTCTCAATTATTCACACTCATTATCACAGCAAAATGTGCCACCTACGTATAATGTACATTACACGTATGTGTAACATGTTATGTGCAACCAAACGTTGCATGTATATGGCACAATTAGCTGTGATAGGGGAGGATTTAAAAATACTTTAATTCATTATCTTTGATAATTCTAAAGATTGCTAATTGATTGCTTGTGAATATCTGTTATTTAATTTCTGCTACGAGTACGTATATAAAGGTCCCTCATATTCAATATCAGTGAGAAAGTTAAGGATTCATGGTGAATTAACTGTAAAAAAATAAGGAAGAAAAATACATTTGAATCAACAATTTAACTTACCCTTTTTATGAAAAAATTTCTTTAGCATGTTTGATATTAATCTGTATTTAGGGACTGACAACTGCTAGCTCACAAGACATCTTCTATTCCTTGTCATGTACTAAAAACAAAAAAAAAGAAATCTATAAAGTTTGTAGCATTTTAGTTGCAAAAACAAGATGTATTTGTGAATCATTAATTGGTGCCTATATATGATTTTTTCTTTGCCTAATGATAATTGACAGCTTTCATATCATATCCAAACAAATGAAGTTACATCTGATGATTAATATGTTGACCATGACCCAAGGATATTTAAAATTTGCTTCAGATCCTACGCCATATACACTTGCGTAAAAGATTTTCTTACAGCAGATGTACCTGGTGCTTTCAACAATCTGTTTATTTTGATTGTGTAACCCAGCCCACATTGTTTCAATGATTACACCTGTAAAAGCCCTTGCACTTAGTTAGCCACTTACCATTCAAAAGTAATGACTATAAGGTTACGTTTTTAAAAAGAAGGTCAAACATTAAGGTCAAAGGGTCAAAATTTTGTTGGTACTTAAGGAAAGGTATTTATATTCAACATTAGGATAATTTTTAGGGAGTTATATGTTTAAATAATAACTGATTAAAATTTATTGGTATGATTCTAGTGAAGTGACGAAAAATACAATTAATTCCTAACCTTTTCTTGGTAAATGGTTTTTTAAAATAGTAAATTTCTAGAAAAATCATAGGCAAGCAACAATAAATTTGCACCGGTATTAATTTCTAACATAACAGACAACATTTAGATAACATAATAGCCCTCTCCCTCGGATTACAGCATATACATGTACTAGACTAAGGACGCCTTATTCAAGATGGATAGTAGAAGTGGTAACCAAACTCACTGTAGGATGCCTTATTGAAGACAATCAGTATAGCTGTTTGAAAATTCCAGAATCATTACAAGACAATTAAGGAAAAATTGTAATAGGTTTTAGCATTTGATAAAAATAGTAAGATATTGTCTTAATTATAATAAGTTGTACTAAACTACTGTCTATGGTTATTTGAGCTTGAGACTAGTTAATAATTCAACAGGAGTATTCTCCTCCTGAGATGGAACCACTACAAGAATTGTCAAGCAAAGAATTCATAAGACAGTGGAAGGCCAATAACCTTATAGATTTTTTTAAAAAATGGTAGGGAGCTTGTTAGACTAACGTGTACGAACGGAGGAAATTCGGGTTGAAAAACATTGTTCCAAGAAATTTTTATCTCACCGCATGAAAAAATTCCAAACTCCCAGTAATCCTTTGCGGTACATAGCAACAAGGTGGCTAAAACATAGCAACAACTTACTTGAAAAAATACAAACAAAGGCGAGCGTAGCGAGCGTTGCGAAGCGACGCTCGTCACTGCGAGCTCTTAAAGCAACGCCTGTACAAAGAGAAAATTCGGACTACTGCCCATTCATTTGATAGAATATTTTGATGCCGTAATTTGGACCCACAATGCATCACTTGTTTAAGCTACGTTAAAGCTACGTTCTCGTGAGAATAGTAGAAAAATTAAACATACCCTGATTTAATGGATAAATATTGAAGATAAATAGCAAACAAAACGTTCTTCATTTATTTTCAGCACTGTTCAGGGTTCTTTGGGGGAAATGTAACTTACATACGACGTCATGTGACGTCAGAGTCTAGACGCATCAAATGTCACGTGCAGTTTGACGTACGAGCCTGATTTAAATTCTAACAAAATAAACATAGATCTGCGCTCTCCATAACAGTCGCACCGTCAACATATTTGCAATTTCCATGCCACAAAACCATCATTTGCATCCTAAGTCTACAGGACTTTTTATCTGACGTCATACTTTCGTCACTTTAACGGTTCCGGTATTTCCGATTTTGTCGGAAACTTCCGAGAAGTTTGGAATCTCGATCCCAATGTTTGGGAAGTGATTTCTTTTTATTGTTTTGTTTTCTTTCTTTTTTTCTTGAATGATAGGCAGTTCATGTGTAGCTTTATGATAGTACATAACTGCGCTCGCCCCAACGGTCATACCGTAAAACATATTATCTCCCAAAAATAGACTAAGTATTAAAATCATTAAAATCTTGTACCAACACCTGTGTTGTTTTAGTAGTTCGCATATTTTTACTTACCATGAGCAAACCGAAGAGCAAAGAATAAAGAAAACACCATCAATCATAATCAATTAAACTTGACTGTCTTAATAAACAGCTAAACAGGGCTACTATGGTAAGGTCTAACTTTTGTAATAATAATAGAACTTCAAGATTACTCACTTGAACACAAGTATACACCATAAATGTTCTACATTAGCTTATTATAGGTTGTCAATAAAACGTTTTAAGGTAAAGTTTTCTTCCCTTCACTAATATCTACTTTCGTTTTGGCTTTTGCTCCATTAGGTTGCTTTCGAATTAAGCTCATTGAAGTAAAATGAAATTAGAATGTTGATTCATTGGATGCTAGGCCTATATTTGTAAGTATAAATTGACAAAATGTCAATATTATTGAACATGAGAAAGTCCTTCAAAAAATATGTAAGAGAGAGGCCGAACAAAAAAATGCGAAACTAAGGCATATGACTCAGGTGTAGTCCGGAGCGACCCGGAGCCGGAGCTGAGAGTCCGAGTCTTCATAGCAAAACACCAAGGTGTGTATTGGCATAATAAGTGTTGTTTGCTTTGGAAATTATTTTTTTAAAGAAAAAATGTACTATTTTAGCGGCATGGTGTATTTCAACATTAAATTCTAATGAAAAAAATATAAGGTAATTTAAATTAGGCACTTTTTTATTCATGAAATAGTCTCTAGACTGAATAAGTTTCTAGAAATGAATATTCTCTCTAATTTAGTTTTGAAAAGTAAAACAAACACCCCCTTCACCACAAAACTCTTAAAATTTCCATATATTTTCAACGACCCCGGCAGACAGTTGAGCTGGTTCTAAAAATAGGTATTTCCCTGTGATACCTGGGAATACCCCTTCGGTAAGGCATTGCAATGCAATTAATGAATTAACAACTTACAATACAGGTTAGAACTGACCGTGTCTTCATTGATGAGGATTGTTCTTTACGTGTGAAATGTATTTATAAATCATTAAGCAATAGTTGAAAATAATATTTTTATGCCCTAGCTAGTACTGTCTGTCATTTTGTCTGTTTATCTGTAAAACTTGACAGCTAGTCAATAACTTTTGATTGCATTGGGCTATGGCTTTCTTATTTCACAGGTGTTTTTCTTGTGATGTACAAGACATTTCTTTCATAGGTTAAAACTATAAAATTTGACCTCTTGACATTTGAGTTTGACCTTTAACCTTAGCCATAACTTTGGGGCAGTTGGTGCTAGGTCATAGTTGCCAACTCACCCGATTTTGTCGGGTCACACCCGATTTTTCAACCCGTAACCCGATTATTTTTTATGACCCGGCGGGTCATGCTTATCACCCGATTTTTGCCGAACAACCCGAAAATCTCCTGATTTCTGGATTTGGTTCGTAAATTAGGTTGCACTTTTAACTTCCAGTTACAACCCAAGCTTAGATCTACGTAAACAATGTCGATGGATTAATTATCAGTGCAGGTGTAAACAATTAACTGGGTATTGTTTTGACAAATAAATGATTGAAGTCAATTAAAATGGCTTCCGATAGAACTAGATCGTTATCAGGGCCAACAGGAACAAGCTGAACCAAACACATGTCTCTGATTGAACCAAGAAAAAGAGAAACGATATTTATGTTCATATGAAGGAATCTTGGGAAAAAAAAAACTTTCATTCTAGATTAAATAAACTGATCAAAGACAGTGTAGGCCTAACTTCACATTTAACATGTTTAAAACATATTGCAGTAGTTAATTAATTAAGAGAGAGGAAAAATAACTTCAAAACTGAAATTGGTATACTTTCAAATTTAGCAGAAACTGAAAAGGCTTTTTTTTTAAAAAAAATGCACACTACTAACTTCAGGTCAATACTGAAATATGAAACCTTCAATTCGCATTTTTAACATGTAAATTAAATCAAATTATGTATGAATTTTTTGTCATAGTAAATTAAATCCTTTGTCAATAAAAGAATTCTCAATACACAAATACTTTGTATATATATGTATAAAATTTAATCATGGTAAATATGTCGTGAATGTCGTTACGCATTATGACCAGATTTTTTACTTTCCAAATCTGGTCATGACCAGATTTTTACATGCTGGAGGTTGGCAAGTATATGCTAGGTCTATGTCCGATCAAGATAGTGTAAATTTTCTTTTAACAAATTTTCCAAGGCAGACCTCAAAATATTTATACCTTTCATACATGCACCGACAATCTCTGTTGTATAAAAAATGCCATGCGTAATATTTGTTTATATATTTTTCATATATTTTGTTAAAAGTGACATATAGGTCCGATGGGCCGGGTGTTTGGATATTAATTGTATTAAATGTTTTTCATTGTACTGTATAACACGTCACTATAATAAACAATTTACTTACTTACTTACTTACATATTTCACAAATGAATTCATATTGTGATAATTAAAACCTTTGTTTTGGATACCAACAATTTTGACTTAATTTGACTGGCATTAAAAATTTGAATAAAAAATTTTGATATTCTTCTACCTTTACAATAAGCTTCCATATAGGGAAGCCAGTGTTTCATTAAAACATCTTTTAAGGTCCTTCTTCCCATAAAGTTGTTCAAATGAAGGGTCAAACCTTCTTCCACATATTCCATGGGGAGATAATTACAAATTATTGAAAAATGTCATTGTTATTTTTTTTTAATTCTCCTCAAAATTAATTTAACTACCAAGTAGGTAGACAGAAAAGGTGAAATTATGTAGAAATATTCTCAGGTAGTGCATATTCAAGATTCTTCAAATCATTACTCCGGGGTATAGGGTGGGACCACAATTGGCAATTAAATTTTTCCACAGAAATATATATATATAAAAAAAAATATATTTAAAGCGGCACAGTGAGTCAAAATCATACCTTAATTTTAAGATATCTGTAGCATACAGAGAAAGACTTACGAAAATTATGAGTATATAGCGAAGATATGACAATTAAACTGCAAGAATTGACTGCACAATATAAGTGCCGGAAAAACGAAGGTTGTATCTACCGTTTCGTTGTTTCGTATATGTCAAGGTCACGCTACTCTTATTTTTAGCTCAAACTTGTAAACAAAATTCAACTGGAGCATGCATAGGTGAGAAATATGTTCTAACAACTTTTTAAAAAGATTACATCAAATTTTTTGGTCTACTTATATTCATTCGTGGATACTTGAGACCATGGTAACTATGGAAACTTATTCAACACTTTTCTGCGCACGCGTATAATAGGGAGGAAGAAGTACCAGGGTATTTTGCAATATTTTCGTTCTGGGGCAGACAGAAATTATTTTTACTTTTATTTTTCCCCATTAAAATTTAATTTTTAGGTTCTGAAACCTGTAATTTTCTGAAACCTAATACTTTTAGGAATTGAACAAAATTTACAGAGGTCATGGGAAGATTTTACATTTGTCAATGTTCCCCTTTGTGCGTCACTGTGCCACTTTAATTACTAGAAATATGTCCATACAACATGAATGCCCTGCGAAGTGTTTATTAGTATTTTATGCAACATGTAAATTTGTATCAATGTATAAAGTATGATGAAAAGATCTTATTAAGGAGGAATGCCACACCAACTTTTTATTTTATAGATCTCTGAGTCAACCTTTTATAACAATGGTTTCAGCATTCAAAGTCCGTCATAAGCTTTAATTTAATTATTTTATATGAATTTTTTTGTATTTTTTCAAAGAAAATGAAAAATATATTATATTTAAAACCAAATAAGTTCTTTTCGAATTAAAAGTTTGCTGTGAATGAATGCATCACATGAATACCTAATAAAATATGTAAAGAAAAGCTGTATAGATATTAAAAATTTTTAAATAAAAAAATATTTATGAAAATAAAACACATAAATTGTGAATATTTTTTAAACTTGTGGTTAAAATCTACTCAAAAGCAGTGACAAATGTGAAGAATATGTTCTTCAATCATATTTATAAAAGAAATTGAAACGAAATAGCCAAATTTTAGAGAAATTATTTTTTTTATATTTTGGTCAATCCCGATCAGAATTAAACCGATCCCAACCATAATTGTACAATTATTGGAAATAAATAACTTTTCCCCGCGCGCGTATACTAGTCTGATTAGGTGTTATTAGGGTTAAAACATTATTGAACCTGACAATAAAATAGATTTCTTCATTGTGAATACATGAAGAGGCAATAAATGAGTATTTTATTCATTTTGTGTAAATTTTGATCGGGATCAGTTTAATTTTGATCGAGTTAGGTTCAAATATTAAAAAAAATTTGATTACTCTAAAATTTCTCAATTTCGTTTCAATTTCTTTTTAAAATATGATTGACAAACATGTTCTCTTCAGTTATGACTAGTTTTGTTGTGTTTTTAACCATAGGTTTAAAAATATTCACAAATAATGTGTTTTATTTTCATAAATAATTTTTTATAAAAAAAATTTTAAAGTGAAACCAGCCTTTCTTTACATATTTTATTAGATATTCAATACATATGATGCATTCATTTACAGCAAATTTTTAACTCGAAAACAAATTATTTGGATATAAATGATTATTTTCATTTTCTTTGAAAAAATACAAAAAATCATATAAAATAAAAGAGCTAATACCGGCCTTTCTATGCTAAAACCATTGTTTAAAAAGAATGACTCAAAGATCTATAAAATAAAAATTTGGTGTGGCATTCCACCTTAATAAAGAGTTACTTTAAAATTGAATGGATGTAGATTTAAAAATCTCACCAAATAAACAAGTGCATAAGCTTATAAACATATTTTGAATTGTCACTTTAAAACTAAGAAAAATACAAATTGAATAAAGAATAGAATAAAGGTGCAAGGTCAAAAGTTTTTGATACATTTGAATAGCTCTCACTATATGTGTATCAGCATACTAAGTTTGATAAAAATATATTGAAGGGCTTTTTTTGAAATGGGTAAACACTTGTTAAGAAAAGTGAGGTCAAGGTCAAAGGAAATGTCAAGGTAAAAAATGTTGAAGCTATTAATTGCTCACTTCAGCATGTATCAGCATATGAAGTTGGATTGCACTATCTTGAAAGGTTTCTTTAAAACTGAGCTAAACAGTTACTCTAACAAATTGAAGTTAAGGTCAAAGGAGAGGTCAGGGTCAAATATGTTGATGCACAAGGCTGTGTATTGAGCAAAAAATTTTGATACAATACAATATTTTTTAATAAAGCGATATGCAATGTATTGAATTCTACAAGTCCATCAAAAAAGGTTTATATAAATCATTTAATGTATGGATTACCCATTTTAAAGTTCTTCTCCTGTTGTCATTAAATATTACAAACTTTAATAATGACTTTAAAATCAAAATGTTAAAATAAAATTGTTCATGTATTTTGTAATAACTATGAAAACTGTGTTATTTCCTTTATAATTCTATAATTATTGATCAGTTTTAATTCAAAAAAGTTAAATATATAAGCATTGATGATTAATATTCCCATCTTTATAGTAGAATTAAAAGAAAAATTACTTGTCCACTACGCATTGGAAGTTATTTTTCGATACAATATTATTCTTGAATATCGATACATATCGATATATTGACACAGCCCTGTTGATGCAGTTGAATAACTCTTAATTATCCAATATCCATCAGCCTGGGAAGTTTGATAAAAATATCTTGAATAGTGACTTTTGAACTGAACTTTGAACTGAGCAGTATGGAAGGATTTTAAGGAAGACAGACTTGACAAACTCTATATATGCCCCAGCTATTTCCATGACAGGGCATAAGAATCTAAATTCTTCTCAAGTACAAAAAAGCCTTGATTTGTCTTATTAAAAGATAAAAGTATCCTTGGGTATTGTAGATTCAAGTTTGTTCAAATCATGACCCCAGGGGTAGGTTGAGGCCACAGTGGGTTATCAGTGTTTTACATAGGAATATGTAGGAGAAATATTTTTAAAAATCTTTTTCTCTAGAACAAAGTCATGACTACAGTAGTGCAATTTTCATATGAAAGCATTATCTTCAAGTTTGTATAAATCAAAACTGCACATGGGGGTTAAAGAATTTTTAAAAATCTTTCTCAAGAACAGCAAAGACACAATTTTTCATACTCCTATGGAGGCATCCTCCGGAAGTGTAAATTCAAGTTTGCTTTAACCATGACATCCCCTTCTCCTCCCAAAAAGCAGAAAAGGTGCATGGGTCATAATGGGCCATCAAAGTTTAACATACTGTAAACCAACTTTTATTCGGGACAACTTTATTTCACCATTTACCAGGGATAAACTACCAGGTAGTTCGCAACAATTCATTTTCACTATCAAGCCTTTTTTGGATCTGTTGTTAATAGACACATACACTTTAAGAACTAGTTCGCAGCGAGAAATATTTGCAACGACGAGGCTCTCGCAGCCTTCGCGAAAATTTCTCACACACGAATAAAAGTTGGTTTACAGTATATAGGAAAACAATTAAGAGGATTCTTAAAAATCTTATTTTCAAGAAGAGCAAAAGCATGTTAACTCGGAATGATATTGAAGAATCCTTAGGTAGTGTAGATTGATACTGTATTTTTTTTTAAACTAGATAGCATAAAGGCACAATAAAAAAAATTAGGCACATTGTACACACAAACCAGGACATTAGAAACAATGAGCTGTCTCTTAAAATACACTATGAGGTAATTGTTTAAAAAAAATCAGGAAATTTAAACTTCCCTTCATTAGATATTTTAAAAATACAGTGTATTCTACCATATCAGCATATTATGAGTTGAAGGTTTTAATATTATGTATCAATTTTAAGGTAGTATTGACCTCTTTGACTTTAAAAGTTACTTCTCTGTTTTTTTTTTTCTTTCCCCTCTTTTTCCTTTGTTGTTATTATAGTTGTAGCGCTTTATCATTTTCAATGTAACCTGAATTTATAACATAGTTTGGAAATTCTGTGAGCGAATAAGATTTTTTTTTTACCAGAATACAATGTTATGGTCAGATAGGATTTAAATAATCAGAGATACCTGATAATATACAAGAAATGTGAATAATGCTCCATTGTTAGCTATACTTTTCTGTATGTCTACAGATTCAGGGAGATAAAATAAATATTAAACTAAAATTACAATATACCTTTTACACTTTTGGAAATCTAGCTTCTTATGTAGTAGGCAAATAGTGTCCAGATAACCCTCTGTAAAATAAAAAATCATAAAGATTTATATACATCCTGGGTCCAGGGATCAACTCCAGGGTGAGGATAAGTAGGTCATATACAGTACATGTATATATAAACTTATTCAAAATATGTTATCTTCTTCTAGGATCAGAAATATGATAATGATTCTAGTGGGTTCAACTGTAAAAATTTGTCACAAACACACTTGTTATAAGATTACATTAGACCTGAGTAGACCCAGAGTGCTGGACATAGCCTCAGAAACTTTTATGATAATCGGGTAACCATCAGGGCCTGTGGATCTCTTGTAACATTTTCTATGGGTTTAGCTCACTTGAGATGTTGGGTGTTCATCTGTTTGTAAACTTCTAACATTTTTTTACTTCTTCCAGAGAACAATTATGACAATTTCAACCTAATTTGTCACAAAGCATCATTGAGGAAAGGGTATTTATTAGTTTATTCAAATAAGAGGCCTAATCCTCTTCCAGGGAGGGGAGGACAATTAAGAATTTAAGAACATTGAATGACACCTTTCAAAAACCTTCTCAATGACTACTTTGACTGACTTGACTTATTTCTGTTCGCTCCTTGGGGAGAATTGGGTCGCAATTGTATGTTGGCTTCCCTAAATTCTGTTCTCAGTTTCTCCATTTGTTGAGTATTCTTACACTAGTTGAGTTTTTGCTTCAACTCTTTCCTTTCTTACACTTCTCCCCATGGTCTTGCTGTCATCCACTCTTTGTGATCAACAACCACATGCAGAACTAGGAAAATGAAAAATGTTCATATTTTGTTTCTTTACACAGTAAAGATTCAAATTTGTTTAAATCTTGACCCCTTTATATAGGGTTAAGCCACAATGGATGATAAAAGTTTTATACATAAGAAAAATACTTAAAATCTTCTTAATATCTTGAACCTCAAACTTACTGTAAATGTATTAAATTTAGCGTGTACGATATATTGCGGAAATTGAATTTTGAATAAGTTAGCGTAGATTTGATTTAGCGCATTATGTGTATAGTTGCGAGACATTTAGTGTTGTACTTGATTTAGCGGTTGTTGTGTTCCGAAGACGCTAAAAAGAATACACCGCCAAATGTAATACGTTTACAGTAACTTAGTAGGATAAATTGAGGTGCTCTTCATGTCCAGTTTTGTCCACCTCAAATACCGGTAATAAGAATGGAGGAGGGAGGCACATTTCCTTACTATAATATCTTGAATCCAGGATCAATTATTATACTATAACCATACTATTGATACATGTATGTTGATTCTACGTTCAATATTTTGTTATGGTTTGGGCCGTGGATATCGGCCTGGATAGCTCAGTTGGTAGAGAACCTGACTAGAGATGCAGGGGTCCCGGGTTCGAAGTATACATTCTCTCCTTTCCTGTTACAGATTTGGTGCCATTGACCACCCCTGGACTTGCAGGTGAAAGTCCTGCCAGGGGTAATAAGAACTTGGGTTGTGTCTTCGAGGGCGAAGACAATTTAAGGAGGGAGGAATGTAATGGTTTGGGCCGTGGATATCGACCTGGATAGCTCAGTTGATAGAGCACCTGACTAGAGATGCAGGGGTCCCGGGTTCGATTCCCGGTCCAGCCATACATTTTCTCCTTTCCTGTTACAATTTAGGGGTATCAAAATATGCTACACTGGTCTCGTGGAGTTAAAGTAACAATTTTGTATCTAATTTTTTACAGCTATAAAATGAGTTTCTTTGCATCAGGAGAGAGTAATGGTACAATTACAATGACAGTTCCACAGAAAGATAATGTAAAAGTTTCACAGCGAGAAAAAAAGGTGTATGTTAACCCCGACCTACCACTCAGCAACATAGGGCATCTTTTGTCAGGGGAAAGGAATGCATCACAATATTATGGAAAGATGGACAAATTTGGAATATATCCACAAGGTAGTTTTCACATTGCGATGAAATTGATTCTCTACTGATAAATAAAAGAACCAATTCTCTAATATGAATAGAGATAGAGAGAATAACCTATTAAATTTTTTTTTCAGAAAACACTGTTCATCCCCTTTTTACCACAAGTAAAATAAAATTCTAAATAATTTGAACCTAGGACATAAAGTATGTGATTAAGTTATTAAAAGTAATAGTTGATGTTCATTACCCTTCTATCTCTGTTTTCTTCAGGTCCTGTACACCTTCAGTCAACAGACTTTCAGAATTTCCCAGATAAATATGATTTTAAAAAAGCTGGCATCTTGCATATTGGGACAACTAAATCACAGAGCATGAAAAAGGCCATGGCACCAAGAAGTAATCAGGATTTTCCTGGTTTATTAGAAGCAGACCTGACAGAGAAACCAAGAAAATATGAAAGAGAAAAAGAGGCACAGGAAGATCAATCCACCACAGACACAATCACTGATGAACTTTTTTCACAGCTATTAGAAGCTGATGGTGACAGTTCAGTTTTGGATTGCAGAATGTCGACATCCGGGCCAAGCAAAACACAAGGTCATGTGACACTGGATCAGAACCAGGATCTTACTCCAGATATCCAGCCAACACCAGAAAGCCAATACACACTGAATCCCCAGACTAAAGTTTGGTCCCAGGACAGATGTTATCAAGGAAACCAACAAGGTGAGCAGTGGGCCCTGGAGAGTGTCTGCTGTGAAGACCAAGGTATAAAAGATCAAAGTCACCTGGACAAGACAGGCTTACAAGTTTTACATGAGGTTATTGAGTTAGAATCTGATACAGGCCAAGAAAGTTTGAAGAAGCTGATGGTGCAAAATAGTGGAGGAATGTCTATTGATGAAGTGACTTATGAGGATTTACTAATAGAAATTGACAGTACAGATTTGATTGGGTATGATACCCGAACAAATAATGCTAAGAAAGAATACTATGGGGAATCATCAAAAGACACTGAAGTAATAAAGAATCAGAAGTATCATCATGGCACTGAAACGACAGCTGCTAGTGGTGAAGTTACCTGTGGTGATTTACTTATTGATCTAGTGCCTGGAATAGTTGATCCCAAGGAGGTGAGCCAGCAGCACTCACTAAAAGAAATAATAAAGAACCAGGAGAGTCATGGCTATGGAACAGCTGCTAGTGGTCCAGTTACCCATGGTAATTTACTAATTGACTCAGAGATTCTTAAGTTATTGGAATGTGTCAATGAAACAGCTGATTCAATTGAGGAGAGCCAGCAGCAGCAGTTACCAAAAGACCATGACTTGATGAAGAACCAGGTGGCCCATGGAACCAGACCTACTGCTTGTATTGCACCGACATGTGGCAATTTACTTCAAAACACTGGATTCCAAAACTTGAGAAGTGACACAAAAGGAGCTGATTTTGAGAAAGTAACCCGGCAAAACTTATTAAAAGACTCTGAATGGGTGATGAACCAGATAGGCCATCACACTGGAATGGCTTTTAGTCAGGCAGTAGGCTGTGGAGTTCTACCTAACAAACTGATGAATAGAACAGTGCATGATACGAAAACAGCTGATAGAAAGGAAGAGGCTTATGAGACTTTACCAGCAAATGCAAAGTTAATGGCGAATAATTTACCCCATTTCACTACAAAAGCTGTTAGTAAATCAGTGGTCTGTAATAATCTTTTTACAGAAATTGAAATAAGAAAGGAGCAAATGAGTTATAACACAGGAGCAGTAAATACTAAGTAAGTATTGCATCATTTAGCTGAAATGTTAGTAGAAGTGGTTAGGGGTACAGTTGGTATTACAGTGAAAATTGTCTAATAAGGATGTTGTGTACTGTATATACTTGCCTATAAGTCAGATTTTGGGGAGTTAAACTTTGGTTCAAAACCAGTGGCGGATTCTGGCCAATTTCTTTTTACAGTTGGTATCTAGATTAAACAAATTTTACTGTAGTAATATGTACCAGGGGGTTTAACTTAATTTAACATTTTACATATAAATTGATCAACATGTTATTAATAAAGAACGTAAATCACAGTTTTTTAAAGTTGTTTGAATTATAAAGATGTTTGATGACCAGTATATCTTGCTAAACTTTATACCTGTTTTTAGCTCTACTGGTCAGAGACCAGAAGAGCTTATGCGATAGTAATGCGTCCGGCGTCCGTCCGTCTGTCTGTCTGTCTGTCTGCCTGTCCGTCTGTCTGTAAACAGTTTTTCACCCTTTAAAATCTCTATAACTTGACACAAGTCCATCGGTTTTTAGCTCACCTCAACGAAGTTGGGGGGAGCTTCGCCGTCGGTGTCGGTGTTGGCGTCGGCGTCCCCAAGGTTAAGTTTTTTGGAGCAGTTTTCTTTTTAAGGGATTAGACTTTGTTTCCATTGTACCAGTGTTTCAGATGCTGTAATTTCAGCAAAGGAATGACCAGGTTAATGTTTATGGAGCAGGTTAACATTTTTGGTGCAGTTTTTGGTGTAGGTCTCATTTCCGAGTAACTATAAGCCCTATGTTGACCCTTGCATGGATGGTACCCCTTGCCTGAATAGGTTAAAGTTTTTGGTGCAGGTTTTTTTGAAGATACGCCCCCAAACTTGCAACTTCAATTCCTGACCTACATTTTCCGGTGGAGTGAACAGGTTAAAGTTTTTGGTGCAGGTTTCATTTCCAAGTTACTATGAAAACTCTATGTACGATTTATAGGCGAGTTATAGAAAGACTGGTAAAAGGTCAATCCCTCTAATATTAGCCTAAAAAAACAACACACTTATAGGCAGACCAACTTGTAGGTGAGTATATACGGTACTCTGAAATCTCACCAATGTTAATTTTTATCCATAAGACACATTTAAGCCAATAGTACAGCAACCAAATTTTTCTCTGGAATGTTGTTTGGCCAATAATCTGGCCAATTTCTTTTGACAGTTGGTGTCTAGATTAAACAATTTTACTGTAGTAATATGTACCAGGGGATTTAACTTAACATTTTACATATATTCATAAATGATGATGGTTACATGCTTATTAATAAAGAACAGTAATGGATTCATTATCATATACCATGGTAAAAGGGAATAAATTTTAAAGTTGTTTGAATTATAAAGATGTTTGATGACCAGTATATCTTGCTAAACTTTATACCTGTGTTTGATCATTTATAATTTGATATTTTGTACAGCAATGGTGTTTTCAATGAGACAGAAGGAAATTTGAGGAAATTTGCACAGAATCATACTAGACTCTCATCTTCTGTCTGCACTGATGAGGTAGGTGGAGGAATAGGTAGTAGAATTACGTAGCAAGAGAGAGAGAGAGATAATGGAAGTATTGTAGGGTTAATAGGGTAAGGGTGATGCCACAATAGGGTAAATGGTCTGCTTTGTGTTGGGAGCTGTGTGCTGTATGTAAGCTTTTCACATTTTCAACTTCTCCAGGACCACAGAGCCAATTTTATCCAACGGTAACCATACAACAAAGTGTCTTTGGTAGAAGGGAATTTAGAATTATTCATCTGAAGGGCCATATTCTCTTGAAAGGATACATATTTTTGGAGATAAAAAAAAATCTTTTAGAAATCTTCTGCAAAAGAACATATGGATCACTATTGATTTTTAGTGAAATTAATATGAAAGAATTTTATAGGTAGAACAGTGAAAAGTTTAAAGATGCTGTGGCCCATTGGCCTCTTAAGTCATGCATCTCAAAAAAGAAGGGTAAATGCCTATGAAAAATTTTGTTTGATTATTGATTGTAATTTGCAATTAAAAAATTTACTCAAAATATTTTGATAGATACCCAAAACATCAACAAAGATTGACCTGACAGATGAGATGACTTCAGAAGAAATAATGTCAGAGAATGAAGGGTTGAAAAAGAGGCTTGTAAAGAGAAGATTGAAGCGAAAGTTACTAAATCAGACCAATGAACCATTACAGAAGCGAACCAATGAACCAGCATCAAAAGTCAGAAAAATATTAGATGCAAGTCAGAATTTTCAGAATGATTGCCAGATAGGGTTCTATGAGGAAAATGGGGAAGAGTTGAATAACAGGAACCAAAGAGAAGTGGTGGAGTCAAGCCAACAAGACCTCACAGAGTCGAATATCCTTGTGGAAAAGCAGTTTCCCGAGTTAAATACTTGGGAAAATGAATACCTTGAATACCAAGAAGCAAATTTTGGTAATATACCAAATCTTGATGATCTGGGGGTCAATGTGTATGACATATAGGTGAAAACTTCTGATCAAAAGAATTTTTAGTTCACCTCGACAAAGTCAAGATGAGTTTATGCTATACCCTCAACGTTGGTGTCAGTGTTAGCGTCAGCGTCCCAAGTGAAAATTTTAGAGCAGGTCCATTCCCAAGTTACTATAAGCCCTACCATAACCAAACTTGCATGGATGATGCATCTTGGGATGGACATACAAGCCTTGCCTCAGATGCTGGATCAGGCATACATTTTCCAGATGAGTGACCAGGTTAAAGATTTTGGAGTAGGTCCATTCCCAAATAACTATAAGCCCTATCTGGACCAAACTTGCATGGATGATGCATCTAGGCATAGACACTACCAGACTGGCTTCTGATGCTGGATTTTTGAAGTAGCTCTTTTTAATTTATGCCCTGTTATGATTTAACTTGCATGGATGATGCATCTAAGGATGGAAAATGGAGACTTGCTTCGGATGCTTGATCTGACCTACATTTTCCAAAAGGTGACCACGTTAAAGTTTTTGGAACTGGTAAATCCCCAATGAACTTAAATACTGTAGAAGTACTTTTTTCTGTGTGGTATTAATTTCGGCTATGTACGCGGTCACAAATCTTCCACGGAAATTTGTCCAAGCGTACTTAATATAAATGTAAGGCATATAGTCACATTCTAGGAAATACGTGAAATTTTCTACACATGGATTTAACAGAAATTGAGATTCCGTGGAATTATGACCCCCTGGAAAAAAGTACATCTACAGTACCTAGTTAAACAGAACTTGCATGAATATTGTTGTCAGGATAAATTCTAAGTACTATATAGTATAAGAAAATATGATGTGAGATTTGCATTACTTAAACTGATAACATTCTTCCAGGTGAGCCACGTAATCTTTGATTACCTATGTTTTTGTTTACAATGATTAGGTGATTTATTATATACCTAATGTGTATCACCCAATTTTACTGTTGAATTTATGCTATCACATGACGTCGTGATCCAATTTTCCAGATCACCAACATGTTGTTTTCTGAATCCATATCACCACTCTCTGAAACTGATGATGTAGTATGCAGAAATATGTTGTTATTTTTCTTGTGCGTTAAAAAGTCCCTTGTGCTTTGTTTTATGGATAAATGTTATGCAATTGATCTCTAAAGTTTTTTTTGCTATATTTTGCTAGTTATGAGGGGGTATATAATAAATTTATCATTATAACAGTAACTTGATCCGAAGCTGTATCACGTCTCGTTCACAGGCGCGGATCATCGGATCAAACTCGACGCTTAGCGTCTCGTAAGATCTGATGATCCGCATCTGTCAACTCGACATGATACGACCCTTCGGATCAAGTTACTGTTATAATAATATATATGTATCTCTTAGCCTCATTTATGTTATACTTTGGTCAATCTTTGGAAATCTTTGTTTTGTCTTTTGCATCTTCTCCCATTTATCATGTTTATATTTTGTGCTAGCTCTATCCTTCATTTTAGCAATGTTTTCAAACTCCTTTAAATGCTTCATACCTGGTATATAGGTGTTATTCATTATATCCATCCACAGTTAACAATATATTTTTAAACTCATAGGGAATGAATATCACTTCACTGTAAGCATTAATGCATTATAAGTGTGTTCACTATAACCATGTTTTACTATATCTTGTTGGAACAGAAGGACAAGAAATTGCTAATGCTTGTACATAAGCTTTTAAATTTCATTTCCAAAGATACTATCTGTCTTTTTTCCCTGTCTTTTTAATGCTTAGATGTATGCTCAGAATTTGTTCAACATAATCCTCCTCTCAGGACACAAAACTAAAATGGTTCCTACATACAGACACCTTCATTACAGAAAATTCTGTCATTTGTGCATTAAATCAGCCAGACTCTAAGGTTTTTAGCTCACCTGAGCTGAAAGCTCATCTGAGTTATTCTGATCAGCCTTTACGTGTCGTCCGTCTGTCTGTCCATCCGTCTTTAAACTCTGTAAACATTTTCAACTTCCTCTCAAGAACCACTGGGCTGATTTTAACCAAACTTGGTACAAAGCATCCTTAGGGGTAGGAGAATTTAAATTATTAAAATGAAGGGCCTAATTCCCATTCAAAGGGAGATATCAAGATAATACAAAAATGGGGTGTGGTCATTAAAAAATCTTTTTCTCAAGAACCACTGGGCCAGAAAAGCTGAAACTTAAGTGGAAGCGTCATTAGGTAGTGTAGATTCTAAACTCTTAAAATCATGACCCCCAGGGGTAGGGCAGGGCCACAATAGGGAATCCAAATTCTACATTTAAATATAGAAACAAATGTTTAAAAAATCTTCTCAAGAACCACTGAGCTAGGAAAGCTGAATTAAACTTATATAGAAGCATCCTTGGGTAGTTTAGATTGTAAATTGTTCACATCATGACCCGTAGGGGTAGGGTGGGGCCACAGTAGGGAATCCAAGTTTTACATTAAAATATATGGGAAAAATCTTTAAAAGTCTTCACCTCAAGAATCAGTGGGCCAGAAAAAGTGAAAACTTAATACATGTATCTGGAAGCATTCTGGGGTAGTGTAGATATGATCCCTGAGGGTAGGGTGGGGTCACCACAGGTAATACAAAGAGGAAATCTGGTTTAAAAAAAAAAGAAAACCAAAAGTTACTCATGTGAGCAATGTGGCCTATGGGCCTCTTGTTAATCATGATTATAGTATTGGATTTCAAAATCAATTACATTATTCATTAAAAGAATTTTTAGTAATGCTTATTTAATAAAAAATTTGTACATATATAAACAGTTCCTTTTAAATGATTGTATCTTTAATTTATTTTCATGCATTCTGTATATAAACTTCTGAGGGAATAGAATTTTTTCCTTGTGGATGTGTCAAAGAATTTAATGTTTTTGGTTTATCAGAAGAGCAGAAATTATTTTAATTTTCAGTCATTAGTCTAGCCTGCTAACAATAGCATATATACCTTATATTAATTACCAAATATAAAGAAAAGTCAGGAGAATCAGATATTCAGAACAACATTTATATTGATTGAAGGTTTTGAATGGGCATGTGTATGGGATGTCACTCATAACATCATTTGAAATTTGTTCCCAATATCTGAATTGTGAGAAATAATTTTCTGTCAACCACAAACAAGAGCTATAATACATAGTACTCTGCGTACACGAGTGTTACAAGCTGGATGATGTATATATCATATACCTAAGGTTAAGGTTTTTCTCGCGCTGGGCTTTGAACCATGGGTTACAAGATATTCAGTTTAACTCTTTTTATGAACAGTAGTTTGTAAAGATCTTCAATCAAGGTAGCTCAGTCAGTAGAGCATGCTTGCTTTATGATGGGAAGGTTGTAAGTTCGAATCTAGGCCCCGATTGACGTAAGTTGTTAAAAAAAAAAGCCACAGCTTCTTCGTCAAGCACTGGGTACTTTGAAGTGAAAGTCGGACGCATAAGACAAGATCTTAAAAACAGGCCCCATTTCAGGGCAGGCATTGGCACCATAAAGATCTCGTAATGCTCAATGGCTTTATGTGCCGAGTAAAGGTCCCAATAAGAACACTGTAAGAAATGTGTTTAGAATTCAAACACTTTTCTAAACACTTTTTTGTCACCTTCTTTTTTATATGTTTAATTCCTAAACATGTTTAGTTTCCACGTATGAGAAAGTGTTTAGAATGGAAGCACATAAGTGTTTAGATTAAAAACACTTTCTCATACATGTTTAGAAATTTTACATGTTTAGGAATTAAACTTATAAAAAAGAAGGTGACAAAAAAATCTGCTTATATAAGTGTTTGAATTTTAAACATATTTCTTAATTATGTGCTTAGAAATTAAACATATCTAGATTTAACATATTAAAACAAGTGTAACTGCAGAAAAAATATAAACACTTGTAAATTTTGGCACAAAGGGCATATCGCTTAATATACATAATATTGTCAAAATTTTAAAAATATTAACCGATATAAAATATTCATCATAAGGCCTCTGATAGTTTAGATATGTAGATGCTTTACAATTGTGTGATGTTCTTTTTTACACAAATTTAATACTTTGATCTCTATAAATTCAATCAGCATGACACACAATATGTTTATAACGCAGGGATGAGCAACAAAAATAAAATAAGCTAGCAATTTTATATCAAAACTTCCTTTAATCTTTTTAATAATGTATTATTAAAGATATTTCAATTAAAATTAAAAAAATATTTATTTTATATAATATTTTGCATATGATTAATTACAGTGTTAACCGGTTGCAGAGTGTTCCATATGTCAGTCATCAAAATGTCAAACTTGATTCACTTTCAGCAGTCCTAAAGCACTACTTAGCACCACATGATACCGGTATAATATCCCGTCAGTATTAAACTGCCGAAAAGTAATCCATATCAAATGCACAAGGATAATCACAAAATGATAATTTTAGGTACATGTATTCAAATCCACCGAACATTGTCGAATTAAGGGTAACCCAATACACTTCATAGAAATACGTTTCTTAGTGTTGATCACGGAACAACAATTTGAACTTGAAGATGACGCCATGCACAGATGCAGGTACCAGTACTTTGATACATACATGCTTGGAGTTCAATCCGGACTACTCACATAACCTGTAGGAAAGAAAGTCAGATTTAAGTAAAAGTACTATGCTGCCCATTGAAGATGACATCAGTTTTTCAAGTTGCATTGGAACTATACTTAAATTAAAATAGTTATTTTTAATGAAATTCAATATAACCTCCTTTCCTACAAGTCTATAAACGACCTCAAAGGCATTGTTTACATTGCTCATCGTGGTTTAATAATGCAAATCTTAATAAAAAGAAAACATACCTTTAATATATTGCAGTAAAAAGATGCCTTTCAAATGATTTTCAATATGTCTTCATGGTTATCCGTTGGGTTGTCAGTATCTCTCCGTGATACGTCCCTTAAGCCTTTTGTGATTTACTTCGTTTCGATGGCCGCTCAAATTAACGTTCAAATATACGAGTATTTGTGTCATTTCCGGGAAGATAACTCTGCATTTTACAGCAGAACGTGTTTAATTTCTAAACACGTTTAGATATAAAACATGTTTAGACATAAGTGTTTAGTTGTTAAACATATTTCTATACATGTTTAGATCTAAACACGTCATGGAAGTGTTTCAATCCTAAACACAATTTTTACAGTGAAGCTCTTTATAACGGTATATGTAGCTGCTGAACTGGGGTAGCTCTCCGAAAAAAAAATATAGACAGACCAGTCTGTCAAAATATTTTTTTCTTGCAGAACTACAGTTCTGCAGCTACCGGTTTATGGTGGAGTCTCCTTATTTTTGAATAGGACTCTTCAAAGTCAAATCATAGAGGCCCTAACACAAGAACCCTAGCTACAGAACTGCAGTGTGATAGTTTGGTTCAATAATAGCGAGGAGCAGAGATGACGTTTTTCAAGGTCATGATCACTATACATGTATGATCAATAGGGTCCACATAACACCAGAACCCTGTCCCTCCACAAATTGCAGACCTGTTTACTCTTACGATTTCGCCGTATTTTGTACGGATTTTTAGTCTAAAATGCGTCTCACGTTTTGCCATTATGAAAATACGGAAATCGGAAATACATTAGTTTGGAATTTAACAGTTAGTTTTCGTTATGATATGTCTTAGTTTAACCCTTTTTGTCGCTAAACAAGAGAAAGATTTCAAACACATAAGCGATGTCAGGTTGCCAAAACGCTGTGGTATTATTAAATGACAAAGACCTTGTTGTTAAACCATGTTTTTGTAATCAGAAAAGCAGTTTTTCTCTTTTAATATATTTAAAATCGATGGAAAGTGAGATCTTACTGGCAAATGCCAAATCTCATGGAAAAATCTAATAAAAAATACTGAGAGACAGCGTTATGGGTAAACAGGTCTGAAATTGCATAATTTTGAGAGGCACTCTTGCTCATAACCATGCATCTAGATTTTCTTATTAGTTTCATTGCATGTTATTTAATGTCCTTTTACACTTTTACACTTATGCCAACACTTGCCAGTGGAGGACTGCAAATTTATGCCTATCCTCGGTACTTTGGGCCATTGAGCAGTGAGGTTTTTTTTTTCATACCAGCACCTACTGCAACAGTTGTGCAA